GGCATTTCTCCTGACGTTTCGCCTGCATCTATGGCAAGCATCCTCAGAGGTTGTGAGGTCTGTTGGAAGTAGGAAAAATGGGTTTATATATCTGTGGAATGGCTGGGGTGGGGCAAGGAGCTCTTCCCTGCTGCAGTTAGGTGTAAATGTTTAGCTGATCACCTTCATTAGCATTTGAAGGCCTGCCTGAGCCTGGGAAAATCTGTTGCTGGGAGGTGTTAATCTGTGCCTGGTTTTTTCCTCTCTGTTGTTTAGCTGTTATAATTTTAGAGTTTTTTTTAATACTGGTAGCCAGATTTTGTTCATTTTCATGGTCTCTTCCTTTCTGTTGAAATTGTCCACATGCTTGTGGATTTCAATGGCTTCTCTGTGTAGTCTGACATGGTGGTTGTTGGTGTGGTCCAGCATTTCTGTGTTCTCATATAATATGCTGTGTCCAGGCTGGTTCATCAGGTGCTCTGCTATGGCTGACTTCTCTACACTTTTCATATACACTTTTCATATACATTTCATATACACATTTCCTTGGAAGTGGGTTCCTTAACAAATCAGGTTTAGTTCCTAGGGGGGAGATGTAGTGGGAAATGAAGTTGAGGCTGGGGGAAGATCGGGAACTAATTTTCTCTCTCTCCTGAGTAGATTGAGCCTTGAGCAGTTTAGTTCCTGGGAGATTCATTGGTTGTGGGGGTGGCGGCGGCTTGTGTTGCCCCAGTGTGTGCATGAGAGAGAAACGAAAAGTATTTTTCGGTGTGTGAATGCCTTGACTAGCTACTAAGCTTCATTATGGCCCAGTTCTCTGTAAAGCAGCCAAACACACAAACGTAGTCCAGTGGCAGTTTGAGGTCAACATGTTATTGAGCAATTTAAGGAAGTTTGCATATAGTGAGATCCAGAATGCAGAAACTGAGTCCATGGCTGGAGGCTTAAAATTAAATCCAAAGTTCCCAATCAAAGAAGTCTCATCAGTTGAAGTAGTGGCCACCGAGGAATTTATCTGATCCGGCCAGAAAGGATGGCAGCTAGCGGTAAGCTGCTCAAAGAAACTGACATGTTTTGCAAGCATAAAACATACATTTTTATACAGTACAGTCTTTTGTTTTTTGTGCGCCCGCCCAGCAGAGGTCAGCTTTGCACGGATTGGTGGAGCCAACTTTGACGTCACAAACACCTGAGAGGGTTCACTCCGCATGGAGGGGCAGCAGATCAAAAAAGTTCCCCACTTCTAATTCAGATTCCTGCTCTCCCATGGCTGACAGGGGACTGGGTGACCAGTGGAACAAAAGGAGACATAGTTTTTATGAATGGATTAGCATGTCTCAACCTCAAGACAAAAAAAGAGGGGCCCTTGGGTCCCATGGGCTTTATTGTCTGTATAATGACCCTGTGAGTCCTCAACGAGTGAGTCTAGTGCCCATGGCGCTAGTGTACATTGCATTCTATCTCAGTATTCTCCAGATGATGGGATTAGATGATCCATCCTTGGGAAAAGTGTATGGCAATTAGGAAGAACAGTAGCAGAGTTTCCCCAAATTCCAGGGAAGATGCTTGGGCGATTGTGACTCCTTTGTCCATATGACTGGTTTTAGTGTTTATGCATATTTATAGTTTATTTTATGTTCTGGCATTGAATGTTTGCCATATATATGTTGTGCTCCACCCTGAGTCTCCTTTGGGGTGAAAAGAGCGGAATATCAATGTTTTAAATGAATGAATAAATAAATAGTCCATGTGGCTGGCAAAAAAAGGTTAGCCCAATTCAGGGTCTGGTAATACCTTGCTCAGCTGGTTCTATTGATGCGGGAGATACTGGTTTTTTGGGTCTTGGTGTGTCAGTAAAGGTTATCAAGGTGGCTTCATACTCCAAAGAGGTATATATAAAATCATAAAACACAAAAATATTAAAAACACACGAAGGCCCTGGTATCTGCTGACCAGTGGATCCTGGGGGCAGTAATTGCCTGGGACTTTGGGGTTGACCCAGAGGTTGTGGTTGCATGAAAGAAGCTTCATAGGGAAGGAAAAAAAGGGGGGGGGGGAGGGAGAGAAAGCTTGTTCAGGAGTGTGAAGGCAGGAAACCTCAGCCATGGATGATGGGGTCTGGGAGCCCTAGTTAAGGGATGATGGGGTTTGTAGGGGCAGAAGCCAGCCACGGTGCAAAGATAGACAGAAAAAGTGAGTCAAGGATACAGAGAGGCAAGCATAAGCTTAAAAATATACTTTTTATTGAGGGATAGTTTCACACTTTGAGAGAAAAGCGGTTGGAAACAATGTCTCTCCTGGAGCCGGCTCTGCTGCAGGTCCTCTTCGTCTTCTGCCAATTCATAATTTTCCATGGGGGGTGGGGGGTTTGTGGTTGTGGAGTATTCCTGTGTTTCCAGGAATATTCCACAATCCACGACCCAACATCCAAGGTACAGCCAATCTTTCAAGGAATCAAGGCATAAGATATGATGCTTCAGGCTGCAGCTCAAAAAAGCTGTTGCTGTTGTTCCTGTTCCGAAGTGATGGCCTCTTTAGTGTCCGGCTGCACCTGATCTTGCTCTGTATTTGAGCCCAAATCAAATGCTGGAAGTAATCTTTCCTCCACCTTCTAGTTGTTAATGCTTGCCATGAAAGGTACGTTCTGTGATAGCCCAGAGAAACCAATTGCTTGCCCAATTGATTTCAATGCTTGACATTAGACATGAAATTGGTCTCTTACCTCTGTGCATCCACCTCTCACACAAAATTATGGCCAATTTACTTTTGAGTCAACCCACTGAGGTGAACTGAAGGTCTCCAGAAATAGGGAATGAGAATAAAGTGTGTACATGTGTTTGTGTTTCTTTTCTGGCCGCCTGAACACTGCGCTTTTGAGGAGGAATTATAGTTATGAAGGAGGGGAGGGGTCTTGGGGATGTCCCACTGAGACTTATGAGGAGATGCTCCATTTTGGAAACTGCCTGGCCCCTTCAAGGCACCAGAGCTACTTGAGCATTGGAGTCCCCGGTGGCTTCTTCTAGAAGGGTGGCACCAAGGGGAAGGAGAAAGGAAGGAGGGCAGAAAAGCGCCTGTCCACTCAACCTGGCTCTTTTCTCTTCCTTTGTCTCTACTTTGGCAAAACTATTGACAGAGAGGAGTGGGAGGCTCCGATCTTGAAGGTCACATAAATTGACATTGGACTACAAGTATTCTGACAGGAGCAGATTTCAAAACGATTTTAACAGATTAGAGAGATGGGCCAAAACGAACAAAATGAAGTTCAACAGTGACGAATGCAAGATACTCCACTTAGGCAGAAAAAATGAAATGCAAAAATACAGAATGGGGGACACATGGCTCAAGAGCAGTACATGTGAAAAAGATCTTGGAGTCCTCATGGACAAGTTAAACATGAGCCAACAATGTCATGCGGCGGCAAAAAAAGCCAATGGGATTTTGGCCTGCATCAATAGGAGTCTAGTGTCTAGATCCAGGGAAGTCATGCTACCCCTCTATTCTGCCTTGGTTAGACAACACCTGGAATATTGTGTCCAATTCTGGGCACCACAATTGAAGAGAGATATTGACAAGCTGGAATGTGTCCAGAGGAGGGCGACTAAAATGATCAAGGGTCTGGAGAACAAGCCCTATGAGGAGTGGCTTAAAGAGCTGGGCATGTTTAGCCTGAAGAAGAGAAGGCTGAGAGGAGACATGATAGCCATGTATAAATACGTGAGAGAAAGTCATAGGGAGGAGGGAGTGAACTTGTTTTTTGCTGTCCTTGAGACTAGGACATGGAAGGATGGCTTCAAACTACAAGAAAGGAGATTCCATCTGAACATTAGGAACAACTTCCTGACTGTGAGAGCCGTTCAGCAGTGGAACTCTCTGCCCTGGAGTGTGTAGGAGGCTCCTTCTTTGGAAGCTTTTAAAAAGAGGCTGGATGACCATCTGTCAGGGATGCGTTGAATGCAATTTTCCTGCTTCTTGGCAGAGGGTTGGACTGGATAGCCCACGGGGTCTCTTCCAACTCTATGATTCTATGACTCTATGATGTGCTTTAGTGACTCACCAACGTACAAACCCAAGGATTCCATAGGATATTGTTGTCATGTCAGAATTATAATTGTATACAGGCATACTTCAGTTAACCGAGCTTTTGAGGATTAACTGAAGGTCCTTTCTATATCTGGCTTTTTTCTTGTTCTCTATTTTCTGAGTGTTCTTTTACTAGTATTGGCATTAGGAAGGTGGTGAAGCAAGACTGGACATGCACTAATGTTTGCTATTAAATTGCAGCTTCTACAACAGTGGTTCCCAACCTGGCGGTTCCCAGATGTTTTGGCCTTCAACTCCTAAAAATCCTAACAGCTGGTAAACTGGCTGGGATTTCTCAGTGTTGTATGCCAAAACACTTGGGGACCCACAGGTTGAAAATCACTGATCTACAGTGAACAGTGCAATAAAGCTTATGCTGGGAAACATGGAATTCTACTAAAGCTGGTCTTACTGTAATTATAAAAGGCAAGGTACAAAGAAGTTGCATCCAGAACCCCTTATTGAGCATGTGAGAACAATAGCGAAAGAGAGATCACAACCAAAGGTTGCTGGAGGGGAATGGGCTGGACGCATCATCTTCCAATATCCCACTCATGTACATCATGGAACTCCATCTCTTGAAATGGTTGCCCACATTATAAAATGGGTTTTTTCGGGGGGGGGGGGGGATTTGCAGTCATTATAATATTGCCATGATCATAAATGTCAATACCAAACTATTACAAATTTACAGTATTGTAAGTGTGTACAGGGATGCAAGTGTATATCAAGTAAAGGATATAAAATGTGTATTATGTATATGAAAACCTCTTGTTTTCAGGTTTTGTTTCCATAACCTTGAGTTTGTTTCCCCTTTTTGTAGATTACCCTGCTTCTTTCTGGTTGTAGTATACCACAACCACAAAAGAAACTTGACAAAATGAGAATGTCATTTATGTCTTCTTATATCGTATGATTAAACAAAACAGTTAAGACACTGCTTTCGTCTTCTTTTTAAAATGTTCCTATTTCTTAAATAGAATCCTTTATTCTTTAACAGTATATGTGCTGCCACATGTTAGAAAAAACAAAGCCATTAACTCCTTGCCAGGAATATTAAAAGAAGTTATTTCTTTTCAAACACTATGAATAAAAATGCATAATTAAAATGAAACAAAATCCATTCTGTGGGGAAAAATACAAGTCAAAATGAAACATGATTCAATGATGACACTTCATTCATTCATTTACATTAAACCAGGTTAGGTCTCCATAGGCCACCATGGAAGTTATTAGGTAAGCAAATATGCCATTGCTTCCACTGCTTTCTTTTATTTCCGTATGTCTTCCGACTCCTCCGGCTCCCTTTCCTGATGTTCTCTTTCCCATCTCATTTCTTTAAGCTCTTGTCTGTACTTCCGTTCAATGAACCGTTTCTGATGGGCCATCTGAGGAAAGTTATCTGAGACGAGAAGAAATGTTTTATATGTTAAATAAAGACTAGCCAGTGATATGAAAAATGGTCCAAGGATTGTTATTTTATCACAGAAGACAACATCCTAGGTCACATGTAAGGCAAGGATCCATGGGAACCAAAGTTAGACTGAGATGAACTGATGCCTGGAGCAGCTACACATATTACAGATCTGGGTTGTTGTAGGTCAGTGGTTCTTAACCTTCCCAATGCCGCGACCCCTTGATACAATTCCTCATATTGTGGTGACCCCCAACCATAAAATTATTTTCATTGTTACTTCATAAATGTAATTTTGCTACTGTTATGAATCATAATGTAAATATCCAATATGCAGGATGTATTTTCATTCACTGGACCAAATTTGGCACAAATACCCAATATGCCCAAATTTGAATATTAGTGGGGTTGGGGGGAGGGACTAGTTTTATCATTTGAGAGTTGTACTTGCTGGGATTTATAGTTCATCTACAATCAAAGAACATTCTGATCTCCACCAATGATGTAACTGAAGCAATCTTGACACACAGGACTCCCGTGACCATCAGAAAACACTAGCAGGGTTTGGTGGGCATGGATCTTGAGTTTGGGAGTTGTAGTTCATCTACATCTGTGGACTCAAACAATGATGGATCTGGACCAAACTTGGGACAAACACTCAATATGCCCAAATGTGAACACTAGTGGAGTTTGGGGGAAATAGACCTTGGCATTTGGGAGTTGTAGTTGCTGGGATTTATAGTTCACCTCCAATCAAAGAGCATTCTGAACCCCACCAACAAAAGAACTGAACCTAACTTTCCACACGTAACTCAGATGACCAAGAGGTAATACTGTATTTTCTGATGGTCTTCGGCGACCCCTTGGACACCCTCTCGTGACCCCTCCAGGGGTCCCGACCCCCAGGTTGAGAACCACTGTTGTAGGTTTTTTCGGGCTATTACAGATCTGTTCTGAGATCAGTAATGTGGGACTCCAACAGAAAGTCATTACCTAACTCATTTCCTTTCTAAGGCAGAGAACTAACTCTAAACAACCTTATTTTTCTGGTTTCGAGAGAGAGAGTTAAGCCAAAAATATCTGGTCCTTCTTGGAGTCATATACAATGAAGAAGTCAACTATAAGCAGCTACTGGAAATAGAAGCAATTAACAAACATGCACCATCAAGCTGGGTGATCCCTGGCAACTTGGAAGTCAAGTTGTTATCTGAACACAACCAATATGAGGAGAGATCCCAGATAGTATAATTTCTTTATCACATTTGTATGAAGTATTTTTAGGACAATGCACATTGGATTATTCCATTCTATCTTCCAAGTAGCCATTTCCTTGTGAGAGCATGTGAACTGAGTGACTGAGGATTCTTAATCAATTTCAATGTCTCAACAAGGAGGAAAAGAGATGTCTCCCCAGCCACAAATTCAGAATTTAGTTCTCTACTTTGAAAGCTTTCCCTTTACAATTACAAAAGGACTTCAATCTGTTTCACTGCCAGTCATTAAAATAAATGTTTCTTTCTTCCCTTCAAACTAATATGCTACCTGAAACCAACTCCCAATGGTTTCTTAGTGCTCCAGAGTCAGTTTTAGAGCATGAAGAAGACAGGCCTACTAGTTCCACTGGTTCACCCACTGGACTTGACACCGTTTGTTTTTACTCAGTATGACATCTTCAAATATAAGTTGCAGCTTTTTTCTTAGACCTGCCCCAACACTTTAGAGATGAGAATTGTGTGACCCTCAAGATGTTGTTTATGTTCTTGCAGCCCTCACAACTGAGTATACTGTATTCTGTATATCTAAACTGTTGTAAACCGCTCTGAGTCGCCTAAGGGCTGAGAAGAGTGGTATACAAATAAAGTAAATAAAGTAAATAAATAAATAAATACTGCTTAGGATGGCTGGAAATGGCAGTTTAGCAACATCTAGAGAAGTGGTTCTCAACCTGTGGGTCCCCAGATGTTTTGACCTTCAACTCCCAGAAATCCTAACAGCTGGGGTTTCTGGAAGTTGTAAGTCAAAACACCTGGGGACCAACACTGATCTAGAGAACCACACAATTCCTACTTATATTTTAGAGACTCTCAGTAGGTATAAAGAACATCTCAAAATCAGTTCATTATGGTGATGCTGTGGTGATATTATGCCAGCACTGCAGGCTATTGTATTGTGCACAAATGTTTCAATTTGGATATTGTTGTGGTGTACCTTAAAGTTGTTTCAATTCATGGCAACCCTAAGGCAAACCTATTGTGGTGTTTTCTTGACAAAATTTGTTCATCAGGAGTTTCCCTTTACCCTCCTCTGAGTCTAAGAGTATGACTTGCCCAAGGTCACCCAATGGATTTCCATGGTTGAATGGGAATTTGAACCCTAATTTAGAAAATCATAGTGCAACACTCAAACCACCACACTTTGCTCATTCAGAGGATATCATGAAATGCTTATAATGTACATATGGCTATTCATGAACAATGAAAGGGCAAACAAGAGCATATGATTGGAAGGCAAAGCAAAAAGAGTGATATTATCTTGAGAGGTAAAAGAACAAATTACTGCTCAATAAACAGATCCAGTGCTGGGAAAATTCAACTTAGTTGTCATAAAGTCTCATTGAAATCAATTCAGCTTAATCTTGTTGCATTGGTGTCTAAACTGCCCCAGTGATATCAACAGAATTTAATTCTGAATAAAGTTAGCGAGACTAGTGTCAATGTGTCATACATTTATTTTGTATCTTTCTCTGAAGGCATACTTCCATTGTTATGACTATGACACCCTTTAGAAAATGTGCACAATTGGCTCAGCATCCATTATGCAATCTATAAAGCAGATCAATAGCATTGTCTGGTGTTTTGGGAAGTTGTTCTATTTTATTTTACATGGGACAAATCTGATTACAGCACCAGATGTACTGGCATCTCTAGTGCTTTAATTATTTTGGAGCATTGTTGTCAAGGTAGACTTAAATGAGAATGGGGGAATTGTACATCTTAGACTCATTAAACTACTCCTTTCATAGCATGTTCAAGTTTTTACAGGGGTGAAAAATGGCTAAGAAGTTGTATCAATAACTGGAGATTGGTCAGGTATCTCTATGTTTTCATGAGCGCACTGTTTTTTTCAAACCAAAGGAGCAAGTGCTATGAAGCAAACAAATGGCCCCTCAGTTGCTGTCAGAAGTAACTGGTTGATTGATACCTAGATGAAAGGGGATGAAATCTGTCACCACACTGCAACTTTTTTTCTTATTGCAGGAGAAATGCCCTCTCAGAGCAATGCCATATGTAGTAAGAGACAGGAAGCAGACTTAGATTCCTTGCATTCTGTTATCTTATGTAAGCTACTTTGGTAATTGTCTCTTCCCTGAGACAATCTCAAGGAGAGTAACATGGGCTACTAAAGAGACAAATGATGGGTCACAGTAAATTAGATGAGAACTCTCACTTAGAAGCAGGATGACTATATTGAGACTGTTGTTGGACAGATAGTGGAAACGGAGGAAGGCTACATTACAGGTGAATAGATTAATCAAAGAAGTCACAGCACTGGATCTGCAAGACCTGAGCATGACAGTAGATAACTGTGACTCTTCAAGAGACCTCATCACATTGAGATCTTGAAGCTGGGGAACAGCAGGGACATTCACTGGACAGTGGGACAAATCTGATTGGCAGAGTGAGAGCCTGTCACCCCACATCCTGCATTGCCCACATTACCCCCTTCCCTATCCCAAGGGAGGAAGTGTTGCTGTCTGGCTTCCCCCTGAGCTTTCCCCATTCTACCGTGGTCTCTGTCCAAGGTAGGGCTCTGTTAGGGCTCTGTAAAGGACATTTTCAAAATGAAGCCAGGGCATAGCCCTGCTGGAAGCATCCCTGCTTCATGTGATAGTCCCCATCTGGCTCCATGTTGAAAGCGTCCTACGATGGATCCCAGACCGTGTGCAATGAGGTCGAAGGTCTCTCAATCATAGAGTTATCCTAAGTTAAGACTGAATAGACAGCAAACAACAACAACTGGGTGGATTCTTCTGGTTTGAAAGGTGGGACAGAAAGTGTACTGATCACTTCTAAAACTATAGTAATCTGGGATCGAGCCATTTATGCCTCCATTCAAATATGCTACACGAAGTACCTGTTCAGCGATTTGCAACCCCCTACCATGAAACATTTCAGTGGGATGGCACATCTTTACTATGGAAAAATTCTAATAGTATCACATATCAGTGAGCTATGCCGGGAAGGTCTCAGTAGTTTGAGAAGCTATCATTTTTCATCAAGGACAAGAAGGGCTCCATCTGGAGCTAATCAAGATAATCTCCCCCATTACCACCATAATGGGCATCAGAGGGAGGGAGTGGGAGCGGGAAAGCTGCTAGGCTCTGAAAAATTGACATACACAATCTAGAAGCCAAAGACAATTAATATATGCTCAGCAAAAGCAGCGCAATAGAAGGTAGACAAACGCATCATCAACAGTGGTGATGCCAGGTGGAAGGTCACCGATAAAAAGCGTTGCCTGCATTGGATTTGGTGCCAGGAGACAAATTGCTATTTCTGACTGACTAGCTAGTGCTGACGCTGAAACAGCTGGTGTCCTTGGAAAAATGAGGCTTTGTGGTTACTGCACAGGAAACACAGCTGAAACAAGAGGCAAAGGAGGAAGCTCAGCAGAAGGGCTCAGTTGCTTCTTAACTCAAGATGGCTTTAGGAAGCAGCTAACCTTTCCTAAACTATTGGTGTACAAAGCGTTAAGTTATGCTTATGACTGAGAACGTTTATAGAAGTCCTATCTTTGTCATTTTTCTGAGGATCACTTGCAAGTACCTAGAGTGCCTGCATTGCCTAATACTATTCTGACATCAGTGTGGTGTAATAGTTTGAGTACAGGACTATGTACTCAAATCACTGCTTCGCCATAGATCACACAGGTCACTGGGTGACCTTAGGAAAGTCATACTCTCTCAGTCTCAGATGCAGAAGAAAGCCCCCTTTGAACAAATTATTCTAAGGAACCCCCTTGAGTCAAAAACAACTTGAAGGCACATAAACACATTTCTGTCATCTGCAACTACCTTAAGCACCAGGCTATTCAAATATCACAAAAATATGCTCTTTTGGCGGCTTTATTTGACTTTGCAATACATCTTGAAGAAATCAATGAAACATCTGAGACTTGGCTCTGAGAGCAGACAGAATAAAGAAATCCAGTATATGGATAACAGCGGTGTGGTTCAGTTTCAGGACTCCATGCCCTATATTTATGTTCCATCTTCATACAAGAAAGAAAACAACTCAGAAAAAGTCTAAAAAGGAGCAACTCTTAAGTTCATGCACTTTACGCATATATTAAAATGGACCACACATATGAGAGAAAACAAGGTCTGAAGTTTACTGGCTATTTGGCTAAGTTAAGCAGATGAGCTCAGCTCTGATGCCAGAGATTTCAATGAGATGGAGAGTTATCTGGGGTTGTCACACCAACAATTTAAATCCCTGTTTTGGCAGCAGCTTGAGAGTTTTGCAGTCAATCCCGCAAGGTGAGCACTCTGGCCCCCATCGAGCAAAGAACTGACTTTACTTTAATCACCATGCCTAGATCATGAATGTCAGTGGAATGACTCGTGTTCCTGAATTTAAGCATAGGCTTAAGTGCTTTGCTGGACCAAGGCCAGAAAGCTCAGCACTTTGCTTGACCGACTCCCTGACAACTGGGCCTGATATACTGTGAATGTTTTCAAGGGATTACGCTTCTAAAGAGAGAATGCTTGTCACAAAAGTAACGAAGAATGAAAACTTGTCAAATTTTAGGTAGCCTTTTAAGCTGAATGGCATATCATTTTTTTGACCTTGGCCTTATACAGATGTTCAAAGGATATATACAGGATGATGGGATCAAAGATCTGTTCATTGCTATTGTCTCTCTATGATCCCCCCAACCCCCGACACACAAACACTTCCACTGCAAAATCCCCAGACTTGCCCTGAATCTATCCAACTTAGATTTGGGAACTAGTGGTATATAGCAGTCATGGATTTGTACTCATAGTTCTCTGGCATTCGTATTGTGATCCTTTGACCTACATATATGGGCTCTACAATTGCAAATGTGAGAGACAAAGTGTAGTGTAGTGGTCTGAGTATTCTGGACACTAGGATCTGAATTCCTACTAAGCCATGGAAACCTACTAAATGACCTTAGGCAAGTAACACTTGGTCTCAGGGAAGAGCAATGTCTCACTCCCTTTCCTCCAAACAATCTTGCAAAGAAAACCCTAGCTGAGGGTCATCAAAAGTAGTAGAAGACTTGAAGGCATGTAACAACAGCAGTATGAGGTGGCATTCATCATGTAGGCCAGTGGTTCTCAACCTGGGGTTTTTGGCCTTCAATTCCCAGAAATCCTAACAGCTGGTAAACTGGCTGGGATTTCTGGGAGTTGTAGGTCAAAAACATCTGGGGACCCCAGGTTGAGAACCACTGATGTAGACAGTGTGTGTGTGTGCACTCAAAATGTGCTATTCTTACTATTCAAAAACCTAGATCAGGCATGGGCAAACTTCAGCCCTCTAGGTGTTTGGACTTCAACTCCCACAATCCCTAACAGTTGGCTATTAGGAATTGTGGGAGTTGAAGTCCAAAACACCTAGAGGGCCGATGTTTGTCTATGCCTGATCTAGATATATTATAAATATTGTCAGAGATCACAAAGAGAAAGCAAAGATTTTTTGTAACAGAAGCTTTGATCATAAATGGTTTACATTTTCCCAACTTGTCATTATAATGCCTAAACCATTTTCATCATCAGAGAGCTACCTCAAAAAAAGAATTCAAGAGCATTTGACTTCTGAAGTGCAGTTGTAGCTGGAATAGACTGGTTTGTTCTATACTGCTTTATTTCAGTGGTACCACTTTCTTTTTAACCATAAAATTCTTTATCACTAACAAAAGGCAATTTCACATGGTTCTAGTCCATGTACAAACCAATATAGAAATACACCAGTTTTGTTTAAATGAACACTTTAGGTCAGTGGTTCTCAAGCTGTGGGTCCCTAGGTGTTTTGGCCTACAACTCCCAGAAACCCCAGCCAGTTTACCAGCTGTTTGGATTTCTAGGGGTTGAAGGCCAAAACATCTGGGGACCCACAGCTTGAGAACCACTGTTTAGGCGGAACCTCTTCAGATTTTTGACCTGGTTTAAGAAATTTATCTTTTCTTCACACAGTAAGGAAAATGCAACAAGTAAACTAGGAGATCCCATGTTTATAAAAACAGGTCCTTTTAAATTTCATCCCTAAGGGTTGCTGAAGGGCAAGGGAGACCAAACTTTTTTTGTTGTTGCTGAGTTCAAGTGGTCCAAAGATTATTAATTTTAAAATAAAATTAGCTAGTTATAATCTCAAGGAACCCACCCCTCAGAAGTTGGTTATTGTTATAGTTAGGTTTTTTTTTGTCAAAATGCAAACTTTCTCAATATTTTTTCCCTTAAATATAATTTAAAATGCTCCTCTCTTCTTGCCTTTAAAAACGGAGGTCACTAGCTTCCAGTACAAAACACTTCTTCAGATAGACTTTATTCATGTATAAGTTGACTTCATGTCTTAGTCAAGGACAGGTTCTGTGGACCAAATTTTGGATTTTGCTATGACAAGGGTCATTCCAAGCCTGGGTGTGTAGACCTACACCTATAGGCCCAAAGCAACCGGGTCTATGGGTGCAGGCTTTGGGCCTACACACCCAGGTCTGGCAGGTCCTGTAGCCTAGTGCCAAGTAAGAAGCGCTCCTTACTTGGTGCTCGGCTGCAGGGCCTGCCAGGCCCGGGTGTGTAGGCTCAAACGCTGGGCTGCTTGCAGCCGAGTGCTGAGTAAGGAGAGCTCCTTACTCGGCGCTTGGCTGCAGGACCTGCTGGGCCCCATAATCCATCCGAAAAGCAGGCCCGTCTGCCTTTTGTATCGATTGCATTTTCGTTTCAGGAGGGACCTTTCCATTTCATGCCATTTGAATGGATGGAACGAAACGAAAACAAGAATGGGACAAATTACTACAAGCTACTTCTAGACAGATGTCCTCGCCATGGACTATGTAATCTTCTTAGTAATCCATATGCTAATGGAGGAATCCCACTCAAACACTTGCTAAATGCATCCTTCATACTTGGTTACCAGGCATTGGTTCTTTGTCCCACCCTGAACACTCCACTGGTGTGTGTGTGTGTGTATACACACACACACACACACACACACACACTCCACTTGCTTTACCAGCATCAAATCCTCTGAAGATGCTAACCAGGATAAAATGCTGCTAGAACATGGCCATACAGTTCGAAAATGATGCAAACCCCTGGGCCGTGAAAGCTTTCTAACCCCTTGTTCCGTATCCTCCATATTTCCCTCTCCCCTCCCCCCTTTGCACACAAATTGCCAACAAAAATCTTCAATAGTTTCCAAGAAATCCTCTTACATTTTTCCAGAGCATCCATTGCCGCACACATCTCCGCTTGCTGAATACTGTAGAAAAAAAGGGGGACAGAAATAATGTTATATGTATTAATGGCATAAGCTACAGCTTCCCAGAAGTAACCACTCTGTTCTGCCGAGACTAATTCTTCAAATAATCATTGGGCAGTTGTTCCCAGAAAAATCCTTCACTCACACAACTGTCTTCTGTCTTTCACAGAGCTGTTTTAACCATTAGATCAATACTGTTAAGATAGTTCCTTTTCAGTGAATTATTTTAATGAACCAATTGAAAAAAAGTCAAGCACAAAGTATAGTACTAGGAACAGCAATATGGTAACTTCGTCTTCCATAATTTTTATTAAGAATTTATTTCAAATTTTCTTTTTTAAAATCAATAAGAGCAGCTAATAGAAGTGATCAATGATAAATGAGAACCTTTAAACATTATGTATTGTACACATGACACTTTCAGTGTACGGACTTCCTTAGAATAAAAACCTTCCAAAGAAAGCATCTGACAAAGAAAGCTAAAACAAATGACTTTCGGACTTGAAGTGTCCTATATGTGTTGTCGTATCTGATTCCAGAATACAAACTGAAAAATTTATTAAAAATGTAAAAATGTATACATCACCATTAACAGAAACCTTGTGAAATTTGACAAATTGTGAACAGATTTAAATTTGGTACAGTTTGCAGCTATTTTCACTGGAATAGCAATAAAATGACAAGAGATGATGCCATCACAGCACATAAAGTGTAGGGACTGAGTGCTGTTCACAACTATGGAAACATACTGCCAAGAACCAATGAAGAGATAGCATTATACTATCTTTAGGGAAAGTCCAGTGAGGCTATCTGAATTCCTACGAATCCCTTTTAAACTCATGAATTTCTGGGTTAAAAAGACATTTTTCAATTTTTAAAAACCCTAAAGAACAATAACAACTTTTAATAATAACTTTTTTCAATATCCCGCCACCATCTTCAAGAAGGGACTCGGGGTGGCTTACAAAAGCACATATTAGAGCTGTAAACATACAAATACAATAAAATAAAATACATAGGCATTTATAAAACGACAACAGTGTCAATAACAAAAATATATATATACATAAAAGCAGTATATAAAAACCTCAACTCATTTAAATAAAATACTCAATAAAATTAGCTGTGGATTGAAATGGGCCATACCAGTTTCAGTCACATTAAAGTGTCGGAGTCAAAACAATTCGCTTGGTCCTCAACTGATGTTTTAACCATCTTCAAAGGCCTGCTTAAAGAGCCATGTTTTCAGGTTTTTCTGAAAACACTGAAGTGTGGGGGCTAATCTAATTTATCTGGTGAGAATGTTCCAAAGCTACCGAGAAGACCCTCTTTCTTGTCCCACCAACCATGTCTGAGAGGGAGGTGAGACCAAGACAAGGGCCTTCCTGGCAGATCTTGGAGTAGGCATCCTCAAACTGCAGCCCTTCAGCTGTTTGGGTCTCCAACACCCAGAAGCCTTTGCCAGCTTGTTCAATGGTCAGGAATTCTGGGAGTTGGAGGCAGAAACACCTGGAGGGTCGTAGTTTGAGGATGGCTGTCTTAGAGCCTGCACCAGTTCATAGGGGGAGATGCGGTCACGAAGATAGGTTGGACCAGAACCGTATAGGAGCTGTTTTAATAGGGGCGTGGTATGCTCCCTATAGCTAGCCCAAGTCAGTAATCTGGCTGCCGACCTTTGCACTAACTGCAATTTCCAAGTCATCTTCAAAGGCAGCCCCATGTAGAGTGCATTGCAGAACAATGAAAATGTCTACAAAGTAGATTTCTTGCTAATTTGAAAGCCTTTCTTTCCAAACCAAGAACACTAAGCAAGATTTCAAAAAGAGATGCAGGAGTGACATGGCATCACTTTCAGTAACTCGGAATAGCAGTTGTAGGGTGAGATGGTTCCTTGCAAACCTCTTCAGGGTGAAGATTTCACAATGTGGGGGCTGCCACTGAAAAGGCACATTTAAGAGTAGTAATCTTATGAAATCTGTACATGGAAGAGTTTGATTATGACCACAGCACACATTAATTCCCCACCATCAAGGACATCACAGGCACAGTGAGATTAACATCATTGGTGACATTTGTATGACACGTGCACTGGTATGCTAGTGCATGATCATGGCTGTGTGTGTTCCCTTCCCAGTTTCCCTTGATCTCAAGGAGGAGAATGAATAGCAGCATTGTTTACTTCTCTCAACAGCCCCATCTAAAATGCTGAAGTTCTTCAGTTTCCAAACATATTGTCTCACTACCCTGGTTAATCAAGACATATATATGTAGATGCAAAAGCCAGCAAGGAGTACTGGTTGCCATCATTGATTATAACTCAGGAAACCAAATGTCAAATCTTGGCTTGGAATTGAAAACCCATTGGGTGATCTTAGACCAGTCATGCTCTTTCTGTTTCAGAGGAAGGCAATAGCAAACTTCCTCTGAATAAATCTGGCAAAAAAAAAAAAAAAAAAAAAAACTGGCCAAAAAAACTATGGGTTGCCATAGGCTGGAAGTGAATTGAAGATATTCTTGGAAACAGCAACCTTCTAAGACTTCACTATTTGTTTGTTAATATATATATTTGCTAACCTGTACTGTATGTATATATTGATTTGCCAGTTTGACTGATCTCTTTGGTGTGGGAGATATGTGATTGTACTGACTGAGCATGATCAGACTCAAGACTCCATTTTATTATTCAGTATGTTTTTAGACTTCAATGAAAGCAGGTATGCTTTTGGACTTCAATGAAAGCAGTTTTCATTTGGACTTATGCAGAAACAGTTTACTATATGTTTGCTTTGAGAAGAGGTGAGTAGAGTTATACAGTCTGGATTTTCATAAGATGTATATTTAAAGAGTGTGGACTATGGACTATTGATTAAGAATGATGCTCTGTGTTCTCGACACAGAGAAACTACATCCTATCTATAAATGTGCCTAGGTGCTAAATTAATACAAGATGTTTGTGAGTAAACAAGATATGTTACTTTTTAAAGAATACTTGGTTTTTTTGTCTCTTGAGTGCATATTTTTAAACTAAGAGGTTTCAAGGGAGAGTATGTGTTTTGGGCAACTGCAACTGCAATTTCAATTCCAACTTCAAATAACCATTTCCAAAACTCTTCTAGCTAAGTGTGTGTGTATATTTATATTTATATTTGTGCAGTGGCATGTCTTTGTCCCTGACAGTTCAAAGACATGGTTTATCAGTTTAACAGCTGAGTTACCTGTGTACCATTACATGAATACTTATGAACATCACTTTTTCAAAGGGCTGACTTCTAACAAGGTCATGCCTTTCCTTGACTAGTGGTTTTCAAAAGGTGGTCTTCAGATGTTCATGGAGATTCACATTTGCAAAAAGGATATTACATCATTTTTCTTTTCAAAAAGGGCATGAGTGCCATTTTTACAAAAGATATGTGCACATACAGAGACACATGTAGATATACAGCTACATCAACTAATGAAAATATGCCATAAATTTGCCATACCTTGGTCCTTTACCACATCCTATCCTTTCGCCCTTGAAATACACAGCTACAGTATATGTCCTGGCATGAGAAGGTCCCACTGTTTGCAGAGTCCTAAATCATGGGACAGAGAGTGAAAGAATGCAATCGTTGTGAAAAACAAAACACTACACCATGTTTACAAAGAATATGGCAGGACTGCAGATGGATAGAGCTTTGTGGATTATTTTACAAGACACTTTTAACACATCATTGACTTAAAAGTGAAGTATTTATATATGCTGGGGACAGAATTATATGCACTTACATTTTTTGGCAAACGCGGATCTTCTAATATAAGGTGCTATGAAAAAGGGCTGTCAGTCTAAATAGCAAATGCTTCAAATTGCTCCATCAGTAACAAAAAAGTTACACAAGATCTGTCAGTAACTAGACAGTTTCTCCCTTTGACTGAGAGTTTGATATAAATTTGCAAGCATTTTAAGATGAGAGACGATTTCTTAGCACACAATAAATCTGCTTCTTTTTTCTCGTCTATCCCACCAATCTGTCTCCACTGTCATACTGGGAATTAATTCTAGTATTACCATCAGCAACAAAGTACCTTTCAGAAAATGCTTAATACCTATCGGCTGAAATCCTATATGACTTAACCAAGGAGAAAGTTCCACTGAACTCAGTGGGATCTACTTTTGAGTAGACATGAACAAGATTGTACTTGCAAGAATATAAGGGAAGAGACAACGGTTATTGGGAATTAAGCAATGAAGTACATATGTATGCAGAACTGAGTCCTGTTTCATTGAATGGATTTTACACTGAGATAAGTATGATGGTACGTGGTTTAAGCTGCTGAACTTGCTGCCCGAAAGGTTAGCGGTTCAAATCCGGGGAGCGGGGTGAGCTCCCACTGTTAGCCCCAGATTCTGCCAACCTAGCAGTTCGAAAACATGCCAAAGTGAATAGATCAATAGGTACTGCTTCGGTGGACAGTAATGGCGCTCCACACAGTCATGATAACCACATGACCTTGGAGGCATCTATGAAAAATTCCAGCTCTTCGGCTTAGAAATGGAGATGAGCACCACCCCCCAGAGTTGGACACAACTAGACTTAATGTCAGGCGGAACCTTTACCTTTAAGCGTGAACAGAAATTCAGCTCAAAATAACTAAGCATTTGATCATAAATAATGCATACTTCTTCCGGGTTTCTACTTTTTCCAACAAAATAAGTGCAAAGGAGAAAAAAAATTGAACATGAAATTTACTAGCAACAAACACAATGATTCACAATAATTAATCTAACAACTCTCCCAGTTCCCAATATATTTGTCACCAAGAAAAAGAATTTAGGCCAAGGTGAAGAAGAGATATTTCTCTTCAAATAGGAGCAGATTGATTCTCAATAGTTAAGCCACTAGGGACACAGAATAAGTCAGCTCATTCTCCAATAACAAATGACAACCATCTTTCATCTTACAGAAAACCGGCACTTCCACCACCAATGGTGAGTGGATCCTATGGGAGTATGCATGGCAAGCGCATACAGGAACAAATGGATATACTTGAGCAATATATACTCCATGCTGACATGTGCAAGGGAAAAGGGTGAGAATATTTTGTTGGGATCAAATGATATTTATCTCCAGAGATTTAATAATCAATGTTTTGCTCGTCTGAAACCCAGGACATCTAGGAACTGACTCCTCATGTTTGCTGGAGTCTAAACATAGCCTGGGTTCGCAAAGTGAAAGACAGCTGGGTTGCTCTGAGTTTTCCGGGCTGTATGGCCATGTTCCAGAAGCATTCTCTCCTGACGTTTTGCCCACATCTATGGCAGGCATCCTCAGAGGTTGTGAGGTCTATTGGAAACTAGGCAAGTGAGGTTTATATATCTGTGGAATGTCCAGAGTGGGAGAAAGAACTCTCGTCTTGAGCTGAAAGACCAAAAACAAATAACGAGAGTAAAGACAAAGATCCACCCAGATAGGTCCATAGCCAGAATTTTGATTGGGGGGGGGGGGGGGGGGGGGGGGGGTGAGTCTGAGTGAGAGAGGATCTACCCTAGCAAACCTTTTGTATCATTATCCCAATACCCCCATGCATATGGGATATATTGAGCATGGTGATCAGATCATGATATGAATAAACATAACAGTTTAAATAATGTACCAGTAAGGCCTTCTCGCGGACCACCCTGAGAATTTTGGGTGGTCCGCTACATGCCTGCACCCTGAGGAAAAATGTTCTTACCATACATTAAAGGAACCACTGACTGCACAGGGAAACTGATGAAGAAACACAACCTACAAACCATCTGCAGACCCACTAAGACAATCCAACAAATGCTACGTTCAGCAAAGGACAAGAGGTATCCTCTAACCTCTGCAGGAGTCTACCGTATACCTTGCAGCTGTGAACAAGTATACATATAGGGACCACCAAACGCAGCATTGCCCAAAAACGAATCAAGGAACATGAAAGCCACTGCAACTAATTCAACTTAAGAAGTCAGCCATAGCGTATGACCTGATGAACCAACTTGGACACAGCATATTATTGGAGAACACAGATAGGCTGGACTACTCTAACAACCACCATGTCAGACTAAACAGAGAAGCCACTGAAATCCACAAGCATGTGGACAATTTCAACAGAAAGGAGGAAACCATGAAAATGAACAAAATCTGGCTACCAGTATTAAAAGAAACTCTAAAACAAGGACAGTAAATAAGAATAACACTCAAAAACAGAGGAATTCCAGACAAGAATCTATCAGGGCCAGCTAACACCTTCCAACAAAGGACCTATCAGGCAGCAACCAGACAGGTTTTGAAGCTGCAAGCTCATTAAATGCTGGACAACTGCCTCCAGCAGACAAGAGTTATTTCTCCCACCCTGGACATTCCACAGATATATAAACCTCACTTGCCTAATATTCAACAGACCTCTCAACCTCTGAGGATGCCTGCCATAGATGCAGGTGAAACGTCAGGAGAGAATGCTTCTGGAACATGGCCATACAGCCTGGGAAACTCACAGCAACCCAGTGATTCTGGCCATGAAAGTCTCCAACAACATATTGAAAGACAGCTATTGGTTTAAAAAAATGGGAATGGATTCCTTTTTCAAATATACCGAGGGTTGTATGTTGTATGTATGAATGTGTTTATGTGTTAAATGTGTTTATGTGTTAAATGTTTTGATACGGCCAATAGGCCAATCAATAAAACGTATCTATCTATCTAAATAAAAGGCAGAAAATTCTGGATACAAGTTATGTGGAAAGAGGGAAAAAAATACATGCCATGTGCATAAAGCTGAAAGTGAGAGTTGGCTTGCAAAGTGATAATTAGCTTAGGCAAGGAAGACGAAACAAGCTCCTTACTTATAGAGTGGGATGTCTGGCTCTTTCCCTTCTGTGCGGAGAGTTAAGCAGCACTGCTGCAGCTGGGACTTTGGATCATTCCAGTCTTGGTTTAGAATGAACTCCTAGGGTGATGTGAAGGAAAATGGAAAAATAACAACGAGCTGAAATTCGGGAAGGAGAAATAGGTTGGAAACAGAGAACAGTTTTAAGGTACAAATGGGAGCTTTGCTATTGGAAAGTGCACCTAAATTAGAACAACAAACAAAACAGATTTAAAAAGCAACAAAATGAGGTTTCGACTATATAAAACCTTGACATCTCCGGAGTCCACAGACTGATGTTTTCCCAGTCATAAGAGGGTGAACTGCTTCCCATGGAAGCCCAGATATAACAATATTTAATAGGTGATAAAGCACCCTGTTTCATATCTATATACATAATAAAAGTGAAAATACATATATGTGGCTGGGGTGCCCACTTCCACAGAGAGGCTCCTGCTTCCACAAACAGCTTTAACCCACAGTGCTAAGAAGCCACTAAAAGCCCTCCCTCCAAAAACATTTCAGGTTATAGCGAGCACCATGAGCATGTAGCCCAACACCTATCGATGTCCTCCCCAAATACCATAGTGCCCTGTGCCCACCACCCAAGGAATGCTTTCATTCAGGGAGAATTTCAGCCTAGATTTTATGAGTTTCCTCTACCTACAGATATCCCAGTGATTCTTACTCTCTCCATTGGTGTGTAATTTGCATGATCCTGCCCACTGCCTCTCCCTTAACACTTTCCTACTCTGCACAACAAACAGAGCAGCTACTAAACATACTGGGGGGAGGGGGGTTGGGGGATGACTCCACATGATGGAAGTTGTATTTCACCCTGCATCAAGTCAGAGCACTGTGACTTCCACTGACAATGTATATGGACTACAAAGAACCCCATGACCAAAGAAAAATACCGGAGAGGTTTTGGAGGAATTCACCTTTATTTATAGCCATTGTAAGTACTGGGATTTATAGTTCACCTGCAATCAAAGAGCACTCTGGACCCCACCAACGATGGACCTGGAACTAACTTGGCACATAGAATCCCCACGACCAGTAAATAATGCAGGAGGAGTTTGGGGAAAATTCACCTTGATTTATAAGAATTATAATTCACCTGCATCCAGAGAGTACTGTGAATGCAAACAACGATGGATCTGCACCAAATTTGGCATGCATACCCAATATGTAAACATTTGAATACAGGTGGGTTTGCGGGGAATTGGCCTTGACATTTGTTAGTTGTAGGTACTGCGATTTATAGTTCACTTGGAATCAAAGAACACTCTGCACCCTACCGATGATGAACCTGGACCTAACTTGGCACACAAAACCTCCATGACCAACTGAACGTACTGGAGGGATTTGATGGGACTGATTCACCATGGTGGGGGTTTTAATTCATCCTGCTGTCAGAGAGGACACTGAATCTCACCGATGATGCATCTAGAGCAAACTTGCCCAACATGACAAACTTTAAGTATTGATAGAGTTTCGGGTGGTTAGCCTGGCATGATGTGAGTTGTAGTTCACCCACAACCTTACACATTTTGTAAAATAAAAAAACTCAACTTCTTCTAATAACCTGGGCAATGTCGGATACGCAAGCTAGTTTTTAAAATAAAATAACTTGAATACGTATTTTTGACTCCCTATGACTTTGAGGGATGGGGACTGGATTTATTTTTTTAGTAGTCTGTGTGGCCTTTGGAGGGTTTTGGGATATAAAAGTATCCCAGTTGCCCACCTTTCCCAAAAAATACATTTATGTTACCCTGCAGGTACTCCTTATTGAGTGTACACCTGAAGTTCAAACTCATATTTGCTCTGTGTAAATATGTGAAATTGCTTGTGTTCTTACTTTTAGTCGTGGAAAGAAGCAGACGTTCATGAAGGTGTGGACATACTCCAGGTCCTTGTCTATGTACAGAGCAGCAATAAAGGCTGGAGTGGGAGGTAACAAGCATAAAAACAAGGATGGAATATTACTCTTATTTGTCAGGTTTAAAAACACTTTTAGAGAACTGGCATACTGGAGAACTTTCAAGGTCTTTCATTACAAATGTCCCCTTTTTATATCCCCAAACCCCCAAATCAAGAAAGCTGCCACAGTTCAAATTAAGGCAGAAAAAAGAAAGACAGATGGCTCGGCTAGTGGTGTTTCCGCCACCTTGGGAACAAGGAAAGGCAAAATGAAAGAAAGAGATAGCATGGTTGCAAAGGCCCACAGCATACATAGAGGACGCCTGAAAGACACTGTTTCAAAAGAAAAAAAAAGGATATTTAAAAACAGCGAGCTGGCCCACTTATCATTTATACTGTCAGGTACCACATGGAATGGAATTTGGTCTCTAGAATCACAGGTATTAGGAACCAAGAGAGAAATCCATCTGTCTGCTAAGGATGTAAAAGAATATTGGCCTATTTTCTCCTCCTTGATGAACAAGGGCTGTTTTAACCACTGGGATCCCCTGTACTACTGGGAAAATTTGAAAGAAAAAAGAAGAAGTTTGGGGATTTTCCAAGCAAAATTCATCCATGCTTAGCAATGTGGGCTCATTTACAAATTACTCCACACTTTTTGGCAATGAAATACCAGATTTTTCTGCACAAAAAACCATTATTTGATGCACAGTAAGCAGAAAATATTATTCTTTGTGGAAAGAAAGAATTTTAAAAAGCATCCCAAACTGTAGGGAGGCAGTAAGGAGAAAAGTTTTGAAATTTAATGAAGACCATTCGCTTCAAATCTGTCATAGAGGCTCGCTACTAAAGGGGATTGTTAGATGTTATGGTGAGATAGTGGGCAGAGGACATCTTCCTGATGGTTTACTATTCCTACCCACTCCAACCAAATTAGGTTTGGCTGAAATTTCCCCTAGTATAAGAGAGCAATCTATATAGAATCAGTCTCATGACACTGCTGAAGGGAATGTATAAGCTCAATAAAACATCAGAAAATAGTATTACCAACATGGTAACATTATCTGTGCCCAGACTGTATGTGTGCTGAAAGAAAGAGTGTGAAAGAAAACTAGAAAGACTGAAAAGAGCAGAGAGGCTTCTTTAAATAGGTTTTTGAGTTTTTGGATTTTGGCATGTATATTTTAGGACACTGTTCCCTAACAATGACTACGCAACACAGTACCACCCCCCTCAAAGTTTAAGACATCATATGCAACTACCAGTAGAGCCACATGCAATCTAAACTTTACTATATCTATTCTCAACTTAACTATATGGGCATCTTCTTCAGTTAGCCCAGTGTTTCTAATTGCTTTGACTGACAAATCCAAGCAATGTCCTTCTCTTGCTGCTTCCATCCAACACTTGTAGGGCAAGTGTTTACTGGAGCGAGGTAGAAGGTTATTGAGAAACCTATCCTGTGCTGTAAGAGTTAACTTCTCCTTCTTTACAAGAATGGAGAAGGAAGTCACTGAAAATGTCAACATCTGCACAAATTAATGAAAGGAAACATTCTGAAGAGTTGGGGCAGTGCCAGCTGTTCAAATCCTGCGGTTTTGCCAGCAGACTATAACTTCTTAGAAATAAATCAAGGCAAAGTATACGCTCTCAATGCTTTGGTTATAAATCAGGATTGTTTGCGAAAAACTTCCATTTACTAAAAGGATTTGGCAAGAGAAACCGGGCCTGCTCAACTCACAAAATGTATTAAAATGCTCTGGATAGAGATTAACTTCCTCAGCCTGATATTTATTGCCACTTCACTTGCACTGGAAGAAGATCTTTTTTTAAAGCCCTTAAAATTAATGGAAAGGTGATTCATACTTCAGCATTTGGATAGTTCTGGAAACACTGTACCTTTGGAAGCAATGTCATTTATAAAACTGCAAACTGATTATATTACAAATGAAATATTTTCCTTTGTCTCTTTAGTCACATAGGAATATCTAAGAGCAGGTAATACCTCTTATGATGTTTCCTTTCCTGCCACAGACATTACAGGCTACTACCAATATAATGCATCTTGTTTCTTAAGTAACAAACTCCTGGAGCATATAATACCCCCTTCCAAGTCCATCGCCTCTGGCAAAAACTCACACCTGCCCTTCATTTAACCTTTATCCGGGTTAAGGCTTCTATTTCCAGGAACATTAAAGCTAATCAGGGTATTCATATTCAAAAGGACTTGAAACTAGATTGAAGGTGACTTGCAACTCCTGAATGGCTTTAAGATGATGCAAACATAATGTTTAGCCATGGTTAAGATCGGCTGAAGGATTATGGTTTGTTTTTCCATTAACAGCAATGAATTGATTAGATGAAATATACAGAGGCATATTGCAAGAAACACAACTCAAAACACTTTTTAAGGAATGTAAGAATAAAGTTTACAATTTAGCAAAAGCAAATCCAACAAGGAGGAGAATATATTTGCTATACTCTTTTTCATTTGCTAGTACAAAAACAAGTAGGATTTATTAATCTACCTAGCTATTTTGAGACAGTGAATAGAGGCAGATGTGTCCCAGAGAGAAATGAGTTCAAATCATAAAGAACACAAGAGCCCTGCTGGAACGGGTCAAGGTCTGTTGAGATCAATGCACTGTTTCCCATGGCAGACAACCCAATTTCCATGGAAAATCTGCAAGCATAAGAATGATGTAACAGCATTATATTGTCTTTTTTTTTTTTTGTCGTGTCAGGAGAGACTTGAGAAACTGAAGTCGCTTCTGGTGTGAGAGAATTGGCCGCCTGAAAGGACGTTGCCCAGGGGACGCCCGGATGAATGGATGTTTTTATCATCTTTGTTGGAGGCTTCTCTCATGTCCCCGCATGAGGAGCTGGAGCTGATAGAGGGAGCTCATGCGCCTCTCCCCGGATTCGAACCTGTGACCTGTTGGTCCTCAGTCCTGCGGGCACAGGCGTTTAACCCACTGCGCCACCGGGGGCTCTAGCATTATATTGTGATACATATCTATATCCATGTGCTCCATACCACATACCAGTAATAATAGTGATAAGTAACATATCTATACTTTACTTACTTAGGCGATTCCTCATTGTCCGAGTATGATGGCCTTCCAAGTGCAGTGTCTTGGCGGTGGATATGTTGGTGACTATGGAGCCCTATTCTTGATCCATATGTTCTTCCACAGTGAGGACATTAGTTTCCAGGTGGAAGGCAGGCCCTTCCAGGTGGAAGGTAGTCCCAATCAGGATTGGCTTGACACATCTTCCTCTTGGCACATTTTTCCCCTTTTTCCTTCATTCTTGCCTCTTTGAATTCTGCAGCACTGCTGGTCACAGCTGACTGCCAGTGAAAGCGCTCAAAGGCCAGACCTTCCCAGGTCTCGGTGTTTATGCCACGGTTTTCAAGGTAAGCTTTAAGCCCATCTTTAAGTCACTTTTCCTGTCCACCAACATTTCATTTTCTGTTCTTGAGTTGGAAGTATAGTAACTGCTTTGGGCATTTGAACAACATGGCCAGTCCAGTGGTTGATGGCGTAGAAACGTCGTTTCAATGCTCGTGGTTTTTTTTCCTTCCAGCACACTGACATTTGTCCGCCTGACTTCCCAAGAAATTTGCAAGATTTTCCGAAGGCAATGCTGATGGGATCGTTCCAGGAGTTGAGTGTGACATTTGTAGACAGTCCACGTTTCGCAGGGTTGGGAGGACAAAAGCTTTATTAAATAAGCACCTTGGTCTCCCTATGGATGTCCCAATCCACAAACACTCTCTGCTTCATTTGGAAAAATGCTGCGCTCACAGAGCTCAAGCGGAGTTGTATTTCAGCTTCAATGTTGACTTTTGTGGAGAGGTTGCTGCTAAGGTAGCGGAAACGGTCAACATTTTCTAATGTTACACAATTAAGCTGTATTTCTGGCATAGCAGAGGGATTGGCTGGTGACTGCTGGAAGAGCACTTTGGTTTTCTTGATGTTCAATGGGAGTCTGAGCTTCTCATATGCTTCTGCAAAGGTGTTTAAAGTGTCTTGTAGGTCTTCTTCTAAATGAGCAGATGAAGTTATCATCGACATATTGGAGTTCTATAACAGATGTTGTTGTGACCTTGATTTTGGCTTTCAGTCCACGGAAGTTAAATAGCTTGCCATCTTTCCGATAGGTGATTTCCACATTGGTGGGAAGCTTCTCACCAACAAGATGAAGTATCATAGCAATGAAAATGGAAAATAAGGTTGGGGCAATAACACATCCCTGTTTGACATATTTATATCCACTTGCTCTATACAACATACCAGTAATAACAGTGTGAAGGCCCTCAGTCTGTTGATATCATGGTTCCAAGACAATACAGTTATGAACAACTCTAACTCAGCATGCAAAGTAAGGGAGCCCTTGATGTGGGAACATCAACGCTATTTGGATTTTAAAAGTACTACTTAATTTTCACTTTTTTTGTCGTGTCAGGAGCGACTTGAGAAACTGGAAGTCGCTTTTGATGTGAAAGAATTGGCCGTCTGCAAGGATGTTGCCCAGGGGACGCCCAGATGTTTTGATATTTTTACCATCCTTGTGGAAGGCCTCTCTCATGTCCCCTAATGAGGAGCTGGAGCTGATAGAGGGAGCTCATCCGCTCTCTCCCCGGATTCGAACCTGCAACCTGTCGATCCTCAGTCCTGCTGGCACAGGGGTTTAACCCACTGTGCCACCGGGGGCTCCAATTTTAACTTGACTGTGTCTTTTAAGTTTGCAGTACCATTTTCATCCACTGTATAGCTGCCTTCCCATATCACAACACAAGTTTAATGCAAACAACAACTGGAAGGCTAGGACAGATAGCCCCCTCCCCCAGTTGTTATGGGGCTGCCCCCTTCTCAGAGGTAGAGTGGCCAGACCCATACCTCCCAGGTCTCTACAGCGGCATTATGAATCAATGTAGGCACAAGATAGACAACACTGATAGCTATGTATCTTTGTAGGTTTTGAGGTATTAGTCTAAGAGCCATTCCAACCCAGATAATGCTTGATTCTTTTACTAGTGAATGTATAACTCTCAGTCAATTTTTTTTTGTCGTGTCAGGAGCATCCTGTTGTGAGAGAATTGGCCGTCTGCAAGGATGTTGCCCAGGGGACACCCGGATGATTTTTGATGTTTTATCATCCTTGTGGGAGGCTTCTCTCATGTCCCCACATGAGGAGCTGGAGCTGATAGAGGGAGCCCATCTGCCTCTCCCCGGATTCGAACTTGTGACCTGTCGGTCTTCAGTCCTGTCGGCACAGGGGTTTAACCCACTGCGCCACTGGGAGCTCCCTCTCAGTCAATAAACTCGGTGTATGACCTTGAGTTTGTCACTCTCCTCCAGCCTAATCTACTCCACAGGAAAATGCTGTAATCCCCCATTAATGCTATCCTCAAGTCCATGGAGGGTAAAGAACAATTTGACAGAGAAATAAACAAATAAATAACTGCTGATCAAACCTTGTTGGACAAGGTGTCTTTTAAAATTTCACCTTAAACATGTCATAGGTCTTCAGTGCTACTCTAGATGATGTTATACAGGGATGATGACTGGGGTGCAAAACAGCATGTTTAGTTGCTCAGGATACTCTTTTGCCTCTGCTACCTTTTTTATGCAACTTAAGAATAAGAATAATACTTTATTTGTATATCTCACCAAAGGGACTTAGGGTGGTTTCTAAGACGTAAGGCAAACATTCAATTGCCAGACAGAAATCATACAGACAATTACATCAAGATAAACACATTTGACAATATAACACAATCTATTTAAACTGAATAAACAAAAGAAAAAAAACAACTTTAAAAAATCAAATTGACTTAATATGGAAAATGATGTAATGGACTTTGCACTCACATTCCAAAAGATCTGCTAGTGTCTTTGTTCGCAAGGCTACAGGTCGCTTGGTTTTGTCATTAGTGATGGCGAATTCTTGCATGCCCAGTTCTTCTGCCACTTTGGCCTGTGTCCTGTTGTTGACCAGGGAGCTCCGCAACAGCTATCAAGAGATCCATGTCAGTTAAATGCCCTTTTAGTCAAGTGCTACCATGCTTTCTTCCACTGATATACATCAATATGCAATACAGTAGGCCCGCAGAACCCCTTGTGTGCACCAAAATCCATGGATGCTCGACTCCCACTACATACAATGGTAAAGTAAAATTGTTTCCCTTGTATATAGAAAAAGAGAACAACTCAAACAAGTGCTGAAGAGAGCCTGAGGATCTGGGAGACGATGGGAAGCTACGGCAGCATATGTCTACATATCAACATAGAGATTTTTGAGATTTTTAAAAAATATATATTTTTGAGCAATGGGTGGGCACAGAACCTATAGAAATGAGCCCAGAGAAGTCGTCAGCCACTTTGAGTCCCAAGTTTGAGGGAAAGGAAGGGATAAATCAAATCAATCAATGAAGCAGACACAATGTACTCAGTGTTGGCTATTCCAAACTGGTGATTTATTTATTTACTGTATTTATATACTGCCCTTCTCACCCCTGGGGGGACTCAAGGCGGTTTACAACTAACACACTAACAATGTAATGATAATAACTTTTAAGCTTAATCCTTGCGGTTTCTACACAGATTTCTCTCCAGTGTTTGCAACAGATCCCTGTATGTTTAATTCTTTGGCACCTGCCAGAGTCTACATTCAGGGTGATGTCCACTTAGGCCTACCCAGACAATATATCCTGGAACATATCCTTATCCTCTTCTATGGCTATGTGTTGCAGAAGAAAATGACAAATGGTGAACTGCAAGGTCTCTTTCAGGAAGGTTAAAATGCTACAGCCCAATTTTCTCACTGAAGAATTATTGAGCACACCCTAACTCACATTTGGATAGAAGGTAAAAGGACAAGAGAGATTCTGATTTAGAAACCAAGGACATCACTATCAGTATGAGTCTTCCTAATAGTCAAATCAAGGAGAGAGTTCTCTTCCTTTCTCTTTTTAAAAGTCTACTGTGAGTAGAAGGAGGCCATGTACCCTGATGAGCTGCTATTTCACACATCGCTCATGATGCGTGATTATTATGTGCCATCACCAGCTACTGCTACGTTTATCTAGTAATGATGTCAGGAAGTCTCATAATGCTGCTAATCCTCCAAAACTATTCAAAGCATGGTTCATAGGGAGGCTCATGCTACAGAGCCTTTTTCTTATCCCTGTGTCACTTTTGATTAAAAAAAAATATTGGGGTCCTGAAGGCCTGAAGGGTCATAGGGGACCTCTCAAGCTTTGCATGTAACCCACGGGCTGCTTTAGTTAAGGGCTTCTTACCCCTTTTCCATTCGTGACCCCTTTTTGCCTGATAAATTTTTACATGATTCCAAGTATATAGGCACCGTATATACTCGAATATAAGCTGACCCGAAAATAAGCCGAGACATCTAACTTTACCACAAAAAAACTGGGAAAATGAATTGACTCGTGTATAAGCTGAGAGAGGGAAATGCTGCAGCTACTGGTACATTTCAAAATAAAAATAGATGCCAATAAAATTACATTAATTGAGGCATCAGTAGGTTAATGTTTTTGAATATGTATATAAAACTCTAACTTAAGATAAGACTGTCCAATTCTCATTAAACCATGGAAATGTGCTTTTGTATCCTTCTAATAATTATATGTATAATTATAATAAATAATACATGTAATAATAATAATAAAGTAAAATAATAAATGTAATAATAATAATAATAATAATAATAATAATAATATAACAACAACAACAGAGTAAAATAATAAATAACTTTGACTCAAGAATAAGCCAAGGGGGGCTTTTTCAGCATTAAAAGAGGGCTGAAAAACCCCTCTTATACTCGAGTATATACAGTGTATAAAATAAGTTTAAAAACCAAACATCTATTGATAATAAATCAGCATTTGCAATGCTTACTAAATAGGTCAGTTTTATTTTTTGTGGAGTACAGTTGAAGTATTTTCTGCAGTCAACTGTAAACATTGCATGTTGTTGCTAACAAATTGGTGTAAATGGGTGGCATTCAAAAACTTTTTTCTGTTCCAAATTTTTCATGAGCTCAACATTGAGCTAAGTAAGGGGAGCCCATTTGGGGTCAGGACCCACTATTTAAGAAGCAGTGCTATTGGGTATCTGTCACACCTCAGAATAGGTTCACCTTGCTGAAAACACCAAACTGCACACAGCCAGAAGTTTTTATGGCTTATTAAAAAATAAAAGATAAAAAGTTCTTAAAAGCAAAAGTAATGTTCCAAAAGATCAATAGAAAAGAACTCTTTGAGGCATAATCCAAAAAGACACCAGCAAAGCAAAATCCCATGGGAACATGACTGAGTCCTGAAACCATGAACATAAGAACTGCAAGACAATCCAGACAAGCAAAATGCAAGCTTCTTGGTTAAACGAAAAGTTGCTCTGACAAAGGTTTGGTCCCAAACACACAGCTTAATACCCTTTGCAAAACATGAAGGCCTTTCTTTGGCCTCTGACGTCTTTCTTGTTAGCTATTCTCACACTCCTTCGAACTCTGAATTCCAAACGGTCAGCTCGATCTAAGGTTCCCGCTTCGTCAAGGTCAGTCTGTTCGTTAGTGTTATCCAGTTTGCCTTCCTGCTCATTATCAGGCTGAGAACTGTCCTCCTTTTCTGAGTAAATTTGCACCTGCACCTGGCTAGTTTCAGTATCAACAAACTCATTCCTTCCTGTGGGAAACTGAACTTCTACACCCTGTTCCTCATTGACTAAAACAGGGACATTTTGAACCAGATTGTGATCCTGAATCCCATCATCCTCATCAGAGGCACTCTGTGGTTCCAGCTGAGTCACAACAGTATCCTGCTAAGTGCCTATGATACTCCTTACATATAATCCTTTCCAATTCTCAAAAGGATGTCGTATGGATCATGCTACTTGGCTATAGATTTATTACTCTCGTTCTGGATCTACGAATGCAATTATGGCTTTGGCCAATTTAATGCAAGACAGACTTGACAACATGTAATCCCCTCAGGCAGGACAAAATAAGTTGGTACCTGAAATGTCCTTTGTAAGAGGAGAGCAGTGCTAATTTTTTAAAAATGCAGTCATCTGTAGCAACGGTGAGACCCAAGAACTGGTTGACAGGATGAGGGAACCAAGTGCTTTAATTAACAGCAGCAATTCTTCAAAAGACTAAGCTTGTAACTTATTGTTGGGACAACTTCTACTATGAATCAGTGACTTGGAAAGCAGAAACTTAACTATATGTTGAAATTTGCATAGGATGCGAAGACTTGGATGAATAGCCAAGGAGGAGAAATTTCTGAGAAAGATTGAAAGATATGGGCGGTGGCTGAGAGAAGACAATAATACTGTGAAATGGAAGGTAATGCGTGCATGAAACATAAAAGCATTTTTTAAAAAAAGATTATTTCTGTTTGATTAGATGAAAGAAAACTCAGACAGGGGCAGGCCTGTTGATAAGAAATTTAACATATGATATTTTATTCAACAGCAAAAGGAATGGAGATATACTCAAATTATGTTTAATAGAAGGTCTTGGGCAAAAAGGAGCTCAAGGGCATCAAGGTAATAAAGTGGAAGGGGGAGAGGCCTTGACAGCTGGCAACATAGTTTTTGTTAAACATTAAAACACTCTGCCTCTTCAACTCCAGGTTCAAAGAGCACACAGCTCTTTGAAACTACGGCTGCTGGTATTCTTGGATTGAAATCTCAAAAGAGCAAAGGAAGATGATGGCAGAGGAGAGCAATCAATTTGCACGAGCCGGACCTCCTTCCTAGTACAGAACTCTTTAAAAAGATTGGCAGTCATATCTGATAAGAAAGTGACATCCTTCTAGGTCAAACACAAGGCACAAGTATCTTTATTATTCTAAATCAAGGTACGAAACCATGTGGCTCTCCAGTTGTTGAAATGCTGTCCCTAACCGGCCCGGCCAGTATAACCAGTGGTTAAGGAATAATGGGATTTACAGTCCATCAACATATGGAGGACTTCATGATTACCACTTAATCTAGATCTTTATAAATTCATTTCAACAATGCTATGGCACACTCAACCAAGAGAGCCAAGGATGGGCCATTTGAATAGCCTGTGGTCACCTGACACTCCTATGCTGAAGCCAAGCAGCTATATAGACTCAACCAGTTCCACAAAAGAGCGAGGAATAGTAGTAATAATAATAATAATAATAATAATAATAATAATAATAATAGGAATTCATGCCACAAATACCATCTGCCTGTGACAAAGAACTGGTGGGATCACAAGCCTGAAAAAGTTACGGAAAATGAACATGTCAAACTCCTCTGGGACTTCCAAATTCAAACTGACAGTTTTGGAGCACAATACTCCTGACCACATGATTGTGTTAAAAAAACAAAGTATGGATCGTCAATGTTGCAATCCCAGGCAACAGCAGGATTGAAGAGAAACAAATGGAAAAGCTGACACAACATGAGGATTTAAATATTGATCTGCAAAGACTCTGGCACAAGCCAGTAAAGGTGGTCCCAGTGGTGATCGGCGCACTGGGTGCAGTGCCTAAAGACCTTGGCCTGCACCTAAACACAATTGGCGCTGACAAAATTACCATCTCTCAGCTGCAAAAGGCCACCCTACTAGGATCTGCACACATTATTCGCTGATATATCACACAGTCCTAGACACTTGGGAAGTGTCCGACGTGTGATCCAAAACAACAGCCAGCAGAGTTATCTTGTTTGCTGTGGACTAATCTTGTTGTTTTTAAAATACTACTACTGCTGCTACTACTACTACTACTACTACTACTACTACTACGAAGAAGACTTTATTTCTAGACAGCATCTCTATCCCAAAAGGGACTCACGGTGGTTCAGTCAAACATTCAATGCCTTACAAAGTCACAAGCAACATCATGACTACTACAAAATAATAAACAATAATTAACAGTGAACTTATAATGAAAGAATTAAACATTGAAACGGGGACAAGGTAGTAATAAGCCAAATTAGGCAATAAACTAGGACATGTGTAAACATTAAATATATATAATTAAAAACAGTTAAACATGAATTGTATTTAAAATGGCTAAGATGGGTGTTTATTAAAAATGTATCACAGTCAACATACAGTGCAACTGGGTTCACCAGCATTCCGGTGGAGTAGTAGCTTAGTCTTCCTCCTTTCCATTTGCTAAAGTGCATGAGTGTGTCTTCAAACGTTTCTTAAAGGAGAGCAGGGTGAGGGCCGTTTTTATTTCTTTAGGGAGGGAGTTCCAGAGAAGGGGAACGACCACAGAGAAGGCCCCCTCTCTCATTCCCATCAGCCGAGCTTGAGATGGGGGTGGGACTGAGAGCAGAACCTCCTCTGCTGACCCCAATGCACGGAATGGCCTATATAGGGAGATGCGGTTGGACAAATAGCCTGTACCCAAACCATTTAGGGCTTTATAGGTACTTTGCATTTAGCCCAGAAGTGGACTGGCAACCAGTGGAGCTGTTGCAGCATGAGAGTCTTCGTCTAACAGTACGGCACTCCAGTTAGCAATCTAGTTATTATAACTAAACATCATTTTGGAAGCAAGGTAATCTAGACAAAAGAGCTGCTTGGTCTATCTATAAGCCCTGAATAAAGGCAATCAAACAATACACTTGAATGGTATTTGTCTACTTCAATTGCATTCAATGAACAAGAAGTGTCTCTAGTTCGAACAGGAACAAATCAAGTTCTGCCATTAGGAAGGTATTGATTGGTTTTAAGAGGAGATGGCATTGCACCCTGGTTCTATAGATAAAATCTCTTTGAATGCAGCCAGATTCACATCTGCAAATTAACTGAAGCCTATTAAAAGCTTGCAGTGGACTATTAAGTCAGGCTAGAATAATTCACTCTAATAATGCTTCTGCAGTGTTTCCCCTCCACATCATTCCACAGTTCTGCTTCTTGGAAAACTAAAAGATGGTAGTTTTTAACTTTGAATTTGTTTTAATGGTTTTTAACTAGGAATTTTTAAATACTGTTTATATTTAATTCCTGTTTTAATGTTTGCATATTATGCTGATGCTGTTGTGTCCCCTTCAAGGGAGATCAAGTAGGGTAATAATAATAATAATAATAATAATAATAATAATAATAATAATAATAATTCAGACAGACAGAATTCTGGAGCACAATACTCCTAACCTCATGTTAATCATGTTAAAAAACAAAATATGGATTGTTGATGTTGCAATCCCAGGCGACAGCAGGATTGAATAGAAGCAACTGGACAAACTGACATGATACAAGGAATATAAATACTGTAAATAAATAAATAAATTTAAAGATTGAACAGCAAAGACTCTGGCACAAGCCAGTAGAGGTGGTCCCAGTGGTGATTGGCACACTGGGTGCAGTGCCTAAAGACCTTGGCCAGCACTTAAATACAATTGGTGCTGACAAAATTACCAGGTGGCAGCTGCAAAAGGCCATCTTACTGGGATCTGCACACATTATTAACCGATACATCACACAGTCTTAGACACTTGGGAAGTGTCCAATGTATGATCCAATATAACAGCCAGCAGATAATAATAATAATAATAATAATAATAATAATAATAATAATAATAATAATAATAATAGTCTCACCGTCAGGTGGCCTTCATGATGATCTGGGAAATGTATGAATAAGTATTCAGTGGCTACTAACTGCATGATGGAATCCCCCAGGAATTCCATCCTCTGATTGTGACCCCTGAAACACGAAAAAAGAAAAGGAAAGCAATGTCAAAACGCGTTTGAATAAATCTTGTCAAGAAAGCCCTGTGATAAGATCACCATAAGTGAGACTTGACATGAAGATATGCAACAATAACAAATATGTATTCAGCTCCTTTCAACTTGACATTTATACACGATGTCTAGGGTTGACGTGTGTGAATTAACTTGAGTGAAAGCACAAGGCTTGTGAATAGCAGCACAAACGATGGCTGTGATGTCGTATCAGTAATGGTCCATTATCTCTGCAAATCTCCATGCAGCATCACACATCTCAGGTGACAATCATGTGTGAACCAAATCTTAATATTTACATAGCAATTTCCCTAATTGTTGAAAGCCCTTCACATATCTTATCTTAGTATGAGAAATAAAACTTACTTTGCTTTAAAGTCTTGCAGCACTTTAAAGCAAAGTAAGTTTTATTTCTCATACACTTTTGTGGACTGAAGCCCATGCAACAGATGCAGGGTCATATGCACCTGATGAAATGGGCTGTTGTCCAAGAAAATGTGTAAGAAATAACATTTCGAAGCGTTTCAAGTGTCACAAAAACTTCTTTTCTGTAACAATCCAACATGGCATTTCCCTGGAGGTTACATCACTAATCCCCACAACAGTTGTGTAGAAGAGATCAATTTTATTATCCCCATATTGCAGATCTGAACGAAGCTGGGATAGTGAAATTGGATTTAATTTGGGTAAACTCAAAGTTTTAATTATTATATCAGACTACATTAGGGTCTGGTTCAGATATAATGTTAGATCATTGTTTTTATTTTACATATATGACCGCATTACCACCACAGGTATAGCTAAGCAGGGACTAAAAGAACCTCCTTAAATTTTGAACTAACTGAAACACATCATATTGCCTGAGTTTGGAAATATGATCAGTTTTATCTGAACAATCCAGATTGTAAAAAGACTGTTTGATCTTGTCTCAGTTCAAAGTATGAACAACCATGTTTTAGGTCAAACCCACATGAGGGCAGGAGGTAGAGAATTGGTTTTGTTTTTTCTCAATAGATCATTTTTTTCATTTTTACACTGATTTAATTTTATTAGTTTACTATTTCTAATAAAAATGTTAGCAAAGAAACTCCTACATGTTTCCATGTGCATTTTTCCTAATACAGACAGTCCCAGAGTTACAAACATCTGACTTATAGTTAAGAATGGGAGGGAAATTCCATCCTCAAAGAGTTATCATGGGCAAAAGGTATCTCTAATAACACGTCCTCACCAATCTTTGTTTCCACAACAAACCAATTTTTGTATTGTCGAAGGCTTTCATGGCTGGAATCAAACCATTTTTTTTTTCAAAATCCAATTAACACAGGGAAGGAAAGTGAGGTGAAATCATCTGAGGAGGGGCACAGACAACTCTTTCCTATGCTATCCAAAGTTATAAACAAATTAAATTTAAGAACAAATCTGCAGAACCTATCATTTGTAACTTGAGGACTGCCTGTATACATATTTTTGTTCTTGGTTCTGTCCCATATAGGCATTTTTGGTAAACTAATTTCTCTATTATATTTTATTTATGGTATTTTTCCAAGCATATACTTTGTGAGTGTCCACTTCTCTCTCACACAGTGGTTCCCAACCAGTGGTCCGTGGACCACAGGTGGTCTACAACAAATAGAAAAGTAGTCTGTGGGAGTTTTTCACAGAAAACCTGGGCCTGAAAATGGGGCTCTGGCAGCAGTAGCTTCAAGCTCAGACAAGGAAGGAAGGATCCCACACTGCCATTGTCACCCTCTCCCTTTTGCCCAATGTTGGATCCTTCCTTCCTTCCTTCCTTCCTTCCTTCCTTCCTTCCTTCCTTCCTTCCTTCCTTCCTTCCTTCCTTCCTTCCCCAGGCAGAAGGGAGCTGGGTTGCAAGGAGGAGACTACAAATGGTGCGCTAGTGGCAGCAGCTTCCTCAAGGATGATAATGGCAGTCACCCTTGATAAGGAAGGAAGAGTCCAACGCTGGGCAAATGAAGGGGGTGGGTGGGGAGGTATCGGATCCTTCCTTCCTTGCTTGGACTTGAGGAGGCTGCTCTACTGAGGACCTGGTCACAGTCTCCTTTTTTCAACCTAGCCACCTCCTCCTGTTGGCCTGTGATCGCCAGGCCAGCAGCCTCCTTAATCCCAGCCCTGTTGGTAGGCTGGATTGCAAGAAGGAGGAGGCAGGCAAAGCCAGCAGGTCAGTGAAGATGGAGAACAAGAGGAGCTCTATCACTGGCACCTCGTGAAGACAAAAGGGAAGGAAAGAAGGCACTTGGGCACTCTATTTCCTTTGGCTGGGTCAGGGGAAGAGGAGCTCAGGCTTCAAGAGGCAGTCTGGAAGTCTAGTACTATCAAGAGCTGGTCTACTACTACTCAGTGACACCGAACAATAGTATCAATCTAAGGATTCTCCACCTAGTGAAAGAAATGCAAGCTCAAAAATCACATTAATCTCTTTAATTAAGTCTCATTATGTTATTTTATCTTTTTAATAATAATAATAATAATAATAATAATAATAATTATTATTATTATTTTATTGATTAGCCCTTAGGCCATATCACAATACCATGTTATTTTATCTTTATATCACAAAATAAATATTAGTATGATGATTAATAAATTCTAATTACTGAAAATTCTAATTAATTTCTTTGTGTGTGGTGGGAAGAGGGGTTGATTGATTTCGATGGCGCATTATTATCTAATTTTTGCTTTGGTGATCTGCGGTCTCTTTGAAGTTGGGAACTAGTGCCCTAATATATGTGTCGATGGATAGGAAAGTTGCTTATTTTGATTTATATCTGCTTTTTATGCATTAGTTCAAGGTGTGCAAATGAAAACAGTCTGAACTAAAATGTGACCTATAGAAATTTCTCCCACAATCCTAATGTGAGTGCAAGGTCCATGGCTGATCTTCTTGTATGTACAGCAGTAGTGATGATCATGCAAGCCTTCAGATGCTGCGGGACTGCAAGTCTCAGCAGCTCTAGCCAGAATGGCTAATATTAAGGAAGGCAAGTAACTGCAGTCCAACAATTTCTGAAGGTACATAAGATGGAGAGAAATAACCTATCAGCCTGTGTGACATGGAAAAAAGGCATCAAATCCTTTCTAAATTACAATCTTACAGAGTCAGATGGTTAAATCCCACGGTTCTCAAAGTGAAAGCCCGTGCAAGAAGTCGAACGTGAGTAAAAGTTACTCCGATGGCATCCTCAAACACTGTCAATTTCTGGAGGACGGGAGAGGTCTCAATTAGCTGTCGGTCAGTATTGGATTCCTGGAGCTGTAAATAAATATCAACAGTGAGGAGAGCAAGTTACCATGAACTTCAGAAGAGAGATTTAAGGCCAATTTAGAAAGGCAATATCGACATAGGATGGAACACTGTGATCCAAATTTTTGATAGCTTCAGTGGTGCCTCAATAAAGCACGATCAGAAACTCAATCTCGTTTGAAGGCAAAAGAGAGTGGTTAATTTTGAATAAATATCTCTATCTCAACCACTATTTATCTAGATCTAGGTTTATATCCATAGATATATATAGGTATATAGATATTAAATCCACTAAGATTGAAGGATTCCATATCACAGGTCTCTTCCACTTATAAATAAATATAAAGCAATTCAATTTCATTTAACAGTACAGTCATCCCTTCACATTTGCTGAGGTTAGGGGTGCAGGATCACCGCAAAAGTGGGAAAAAACACAAATAAAAATAGTTGCACAACTCTGTAATCAAAAACAGGAGAACTCTATTATCAACTTCTAATGGAAGTTCAATCAATGGTCAATCTCTAGTCATTCTCAAGCTGTGGGTCTCCAGATGTTTTGCCCTTTAACTCCCAAAACTCCTAACTGCTAGTAAACTGTATGGGATTTCTGGGAGTTGTAGGCCAAAACACCTGGGGACCCACAGGCTGAGAACCACTGACCTTGGTTGGGGTTGGATTGGATGGCCCTTGTAGTCTCTTCCAACTCAATGATTCTATGAGACAGAACATATTAATTAAATATGTAAATAATCAAATCTCAAAAGAGAAACCCATAAATATGGAGTGATGACTACTTTCTACAACTGGTTGTTAAAAGTGACTAGATGCAATCACACACTTTATGCTGCATTATAATTTGGAATGGGAATATTAGCTGTAAGGAAACAGAGTCATCCATGAATGACTATGAACTTCACAATAGTTTCAAGATTGTCTCACCCAAAATTAATGGAAGCACATCTTAGTTATGGTTTGTAACAATCTCTCTGGATATCAATGAACTTGGATCTTGTCAACATCCAGGTGAAGCCTGTTTCCATTCCCTTATCTCTCCCCCTCCCCCCCCATCACTGACAGTTTTAGTACTTTGGATCATTCATTCATTATATCTTTTGCAGTTTTAGGCAATGTTTACTGACTGACTGTATCATTCATTTTTAAGATACATTAGCTATTCTAGGACTACTTATATGTTGAAGTTGAAAACTCTTACTTCAGAAGGTGTTACATTTTATTTTACTATCAATTCTTTTGTCCACTTTCCTCAATTCAGTATGCTCAAATTTAATTATTATAGTTGGGAACTAGTAGAATGCTTTCTCAAAAGAGGAAAATAGTATTTCCATTAGGTTATGCATTAGTATAGTGTTGTGATTACAGTGCTGGACAGAGTGTACCTTTCACACAACACAATTATGATGTTATGGCTCCATTTTAATTGGATCAGTCCGACCTTCTTCATAGAATGGCTATGAAGTTTGGGGAATTGGGATTTCCCAGGATGTTAGACCATTTTGGGAAAAACATGAAAAGTAAAACTGTTAGGAATTAGCCTCCCTTTAGCAAAATAGCAGATTTCTCTATAGTGTTTCCCTGAGTTTGCTGCTGACTCCAAATACAAGAAGGGCAGGAATTTCAGTAAACTTTGAACGTTTACGAATGGATTTGCACTGACATATGTATTAGGTATCTATACTGTAAGTCGCTTCAGGCATTGACATGTCCGGCCCATCCTCTGTTCAGATATCAGCAAGCATGCCAATGTCTTAACTCAAGAAATAGCTTTCTAAGATCTACAAAGATATTTGCAGGAACATCTCAGCAAGAGAGAGTCCAAAAGTGGCAGGTTAAAACCCAGAACCTCAATCAGTGGCTGATACCAGATGAGAAACTCTCTCCTGGGTACACAAAGACTGGATGACTTGGAAGGCGCTACAAGATGCAGAGCCAATCTTAAGAAATGGGACTACAAAGTACAGTCCACGACATGCAAGTGTGGAGAAGAGCAAATCTCAGACCACTTACTACAATGCGGTCTGAGCCATGCCACATGTACAATGACCTTCTTACAGTGACACCAGAGGCTCTCAAAGTGGCCAGCTTCTGGTCAAAAGAAACTCAGTATAATGCCAAGTTTCTAACTTTGTGATTTTTAATACATTATCACTGTATTCTCAATTCGCCTCTGACACGATAAATGAATAAATAGGTAGCTATATCCTAACTATCAAATGCAAAGACTAGGCAAAGTCTTCATTCTTAACTGATCACCTTTCCATGGTTGAAACATGGCAGGAGATTAGGAGAAGATCAGAGAGACTGTAAGAAGAGGAGAGAATCTATGGGTGCATCAACAATATAGTTTGACATCACTTTAACTGCCGTGGGTCAGTGCTATGGAATCCTGGGTATTGTAGTGAGGTGAGGCATCAGCACTCTCTGGCAGAGAAGCCTAAAGGCCTTGTATACAAATCCCATGATTCCATAGCATTGAACCATGGCAGCTAAAGGGTGTCAAACTGCATTGATTGTAGTGTAGATGAACCCTGAGAAGGGGGAAACTTTATATGATCAGTGGCCGCAAGGAACTGTCCAGGGTCACATGGTCTACTTATAAGGTATCTACTTCGAAGGATAGTAAGAGAAAATAAGAAGATATGGATGAGAGAAGTTAACAGAAGGGTTTGACATGAAAGAAATCCTGGTCTATTTAAATCCACCATTGCTCTGACAGCAAAGGGAAAATGCCAGAATTCTCCAACATGAAGATGAACTGGAGAGGAGAGTCGCATACGCTTCCCTGCACTATTAAACATTTCTACTAGCCTGCCACTTCTCCACAAGGCTCTGAAGTGACTGACACTGGGCTGTCATGTTACCACTGGTCTGCTGCCTATAGCTCTAACTCTACCCATACTCTAAAGTACTTGCCTATCCTAGAACACTTATTAGCTGGGGAAAATCACAAAGGCCATGTACCTGCTAAATGCTCAAGGATGTCAGCACAGCTGAATGCCAACAAAAGACATCCTGAGGAACCAATAATAATATAATAAAAATAAGGAGGCACTCTGAAATTCGTTACTGAAAAGGGAGACACTTACTTGGAGAGGGTGTAGTGGATAATTAAGCCATACTTCCCGCAGGTCCTGCAAACATTGAGAGACGCTTTTAAAGCTCAAGGGAGCCATTTAACAAATTCCACACGGCTAAATAAAATGTCATTCTGCGAAATACTGAAACGCTTTCAGATGCTGACTCTGCTCATTGCAAATTCAATAATGCCAGCAAACTATTTTTTTAAATGGGGGTATTCTCTGCTCAAAGTGCCTGTAGTGCTTCCATTTAACTCATATCAATTAGGTGGAGAGGAAAAAACACACAATGCATAACAGGTTTCGGTTTTGTTGGTTAAAGTTTGCCAACTACAAGACAAGAATTCAGGCACAATGAGATCCTAAAGAGAGTGAAGGCAGGGAAGGACAGCCCAACAGAAATCAGCCAAACAGCACAACATAATACAATTATGTCATACATGTAACAAATATATGCATGAAGTGGAATAAAATAGAAACATGAATGTGCTAGAATATGAATTTGGGAAAAAAATGAATATAACTCCCAGAAACCCTCAACCAGAATTGCCAATTTTTCAAGCTCTGATCAGGTCAGGTTTGGATTGAGGGTATCTGAATCACAAAGGTGAGAGTGCTTTTAGGATTAGATATGTGAAAAAATGGGAAGCATATTGGGGGAGGAAATAGCAACTGAGAAATCTACACCATAAGCAGGTAGAGATTCCTAGACTGATATTTAGGAAGACACTGAGGTCGGTCTACACATCTGGTAGAATGGTCTGGAACTCAAGTTGCACAGAAAAGGAACCAGTTGGTTTGAGTGAGCTTCACTTTTCATCCTCTCATGGTTGATAAAAGCTACTTTAGTCAAGCTATTTCCTCCCCTTTCAACTATCACTACCACCACTTTCATCATATTTCCTTAGCCATTCTCCAAACTCCTTTTCTGACTCTTCCTGGCAGGCAATCTGAAGGATCACCTCTCCATGTATTCTCTGGACATCTACTGACCGATTCAGTGGACATTCCTTGAATGGAATGTTATGGAAAGTTATACCAGGTCCTTTTTATGGTGTCCTCAAGGCTGTTGAATATTGTCAAGGTTTTGAATTTTGCTACAAGGCAACTCTTTCTTTACATGTTTTCATCTGGCTTAGCTTTCTGCTCTTTTAAACATCCTGTGATGTGTTTCTTCTTTTGTTTATTCCTTTTCTTATTGCAGTCTCCTCATTCAGGATAGGTTAGAGGGGAGGGGGAACCCCCATGAATGTGGAAAAAACAGGACTATTTGGGGGTCAGGACAAGGCTTTCTTGTATTGTTGGCAGGTGGTGGTGGGGTTCTACTACTCCATGGGGAGCAGAATAGTGACAATTTCACTTACCAACAACATCCCACTGATGCCTATTAAACTGGAAGATTGCAACTCAAAGTACCACTACACTGTGGCTTTGGGGGAGACACAGCATGCTCCCATCTCTTGCCATTCATCTCTCCTCAGGCCCACTAGTTTGTAGAATTTTGTATGGGGTGGCTGAAATGGCACAATCTAATTCACCATCCACTCCCCACCAAAGCTTATAAAGCAGAAGAGTTCGGTGAAGGGTGGATGGTGACTGAAATCATCACTATGTCATTCCATGCAGCTTCAGGGAGCAGAACAGTGATGATTTAAGTTGCCATCTACCTCCTACCACTGGGCCTGTAGTCTTGGCGGAGTGGTGATGGTTGGTAAGCCCTTTGCTGCTTCCTTTCTCTCCCCATATCCATACAGAAAGGGAAAGCAGAAAGAGATTGCTGACAATCCTATGAAACGTTCATCCTGACAAGCTTTGGGAAAGCGGCAAACCCACAAAGGATCAAATCGGTGAATGCCCAACCTGAGAAAGGGGAGAGCCGACTGTAAACAGAATGCTAGCTTTATTGCTTGTGAGTTATCCTGTCAACCTTGTTATGGGGCAGCTTATAAATGTTGTAAACCAACAAATGAGCACCTGTTGAGTCAAGCTGTGATACAAGCAGCTGAAGTGGTCAAATATCTATTATGTCAAAAACGGTTGGTTTTTGGGGGAAGGGGAGGGAGGATCGTAAAAGAAAAGCAACGGGAAAAGAAAAAAAATATCCAACACCCCCCCCCCCTCCTGTGCACACAGTGTTTTCCAGAAAAGACTGAGGCATGAGTTAGAATAAACATTTTCCCCCTAGACAGAACCAGTGCAGTCTGAAAGGTAGGGAACACTTTCAATTTTCCTTTGAAATACTTGCATTAATGCACCACAGCATAACGCAAATCGATTGTCAAAGCAAAAGACATGCCATTAGGCATAACCAGGCCATGGATAAAGTCATACCTTGCAGTTAAAGAGCAGGCGTCCAAATAGTTGCTTGGCTTCTTCAAGACTTCCTTCTAAGTAAACTGCCCCTGTGTGACAGAAATTGCCATAGGAAAGAATCACATTAACAGTTGGGGAAAACAAACTGAAAATGAGCCACTGCTACAGTCTCACAGATATGAACATTCAGGAAGACCTAGATATCAGAAAGAAATATTCAATACACAGAGCAAATGATTCAGCTAGGCTCGAGTTACATGACATGCTCAAGGCACTAGGATTCTATCCATCAGCCACACTTTGGTAAAGATTTAGATCTAGTAGTTTGGAAACTTCTTGGGAAAATAGCCCCACAATACCCATGGACAGCTTGTTCTCCTGCCCAATACTTCCTCTTTTTTTCAACCGTAATTTTTATTTAAAGTTACAAACATACTAAGAAACAAAAGCTTGTACAGGGAAATATTTTGTTACAATATCTGTGTCAGGGAAGTACACCATAACAAAAAGTTTGTGTAAATAAGGTCACCAAATAAATTCAACAAAAATACAATGATTTTGTACAATTAATAAAATAATGATTAATGTAATACTAAGAAAGAACCTAATTAATTAAAAACTTTTCCCATTCAAAATATACTGCATTTGTAGTTCTAGTACAATTCTTCTATTGACAGGAACACCAGTGATAAGTGAAAATCCATGATGTAGGGATGCCTGGCTCCCCCTCCACTTCTCCTCCTCCTCCTTTTCCTCCTTCCTAAATCTTCAAGGTGAGGCCGTCTGCTGTTGCTGCTGAGGATTATTCCCACGAGCTCTCCCTCCCTCCGTCTCTGCCTCCCGGCCTGCCTGCCTGGACCACAGGCCATGGTGCCCAGCGAGGACCAGCTGGTCCCCAAAGATGTAAGCAGCCACCATGGCTAGAGTGGAAGGAAAGCAACAGCCTTTCCTGACGAAGTCTCTGAACACAGTAGACATTGTCAATTTACATCAGGACATGGATAGCTTATCACATGGACAGTAATATATACCGTGTTCCACAATTTCCAATCCAGACCATTCCCATATCTGCACAGACAATGGAACCACGGCAAATATTACCAACCCACAATCATACTGAAATCACATATATCTGAAACTTCCTCTTTCTCTATCCTTTCTTACCAATTAGCCACAGCAACGCGTGGCCGGGACAGCTAGATAGATAGATAGATAGATAGATAGATAGATAGATAGATAGATAGATAGATAGATTAAAAAATCACTCTTTGGACCACAAAACCTATAGCCCAAAATATATTCTCTAGTCTCTGTACTCATTTTGCTCCAATGAGCTTTTGAATTCCTAGAATCATAGAATCATAGATTCGGAAGAGATCCCGTGAGCCATCCAGTCCAATCTCCTGTCAAGAAGCAGGAAAATCACCTTCTAAGCATCCCCAACAGATAGTTATCCAGCCTGTTTACAAGCCTCCAAGGAAGGAGCCTCCACCACCCTCCTAGTCAGAGTTCCACTGCTGAACAGCTCTCACAGTTACAGTTCTTCCTAATGTTTAGGTGGAAACTCCTTTCCTGTAGTTTGAAGTCATTGTTCCGTGGCCTAGTCTCTGCAGGCTAAACATGCCCAACTCTTTAAGCTGCTCCTCATAGGGCTTGTTCTCCACACCCTTCATCATTTTGGTTGCCCGTCTCTGGACACATTCCAGCCTATCAACATCTCCCTTAAATTGCGGTGCCCAGAATTGGACACAGTATTCCAGGTGTGGTCTGACCAAGACAGAATAGAGGGGTAGCACCATGTCCCTGAATCTAGACACTCTACTCCTATTTATGCATGCCAAAATCCAATTGGCTTTTTTGCTGCCGCATGATAAGAACTCCACCTAAGATTTTAAAGAGTTTCTGATTGAGTAGACAACCATGGCCTAGATGGAATAACATTGAGTGTAATATATGTTTCACTGCCCTCACTCCCTAGCTTTTATTATGCCACACTGTGAGCTACTTCTCTCTTAAACCAGTTAGGCCAAAGACAAAAACTATGGGGACCATTCACACCATGACAGTGCTCCCCACACATGGATCTTTAGATGTTGTTGCTGTAACGGTTCAGCCTGCAAATGTTTCTTTGCCTGAGGTTTTAGTGTTAAATGACCAAGACCCTGCAGACTCACAAGGGTCTGGGAATGGAGATTTTGGATCTGGAAATGGGAATTTTGGACAGGAGGGTGTTGTTAGTCATGATGACGCTGAGGATTCTGGGATGGACAAGCCTACATTAGATGTATTTGTACAGACAGAGAAAGAGTCTGAGAAAGAGTCTGCATTTGCATGTCAGTCAAGGTCAGAATGTGAAAAGAATGCAGTAATTGGTGATTCTAGGGTGGACGGGCAAACTTTGATATACGGAGCCAGATCAGTCAACAACAACATCTGGAAGGGGGCAGAAGGTGCTCTCAGAGATTAATGGGAAAAAGGGGTCAGTCCAAGGTTTCTCATGGGAAAAGGCATGCCTTTGGCATGGCTTTTTGACTATATATAAGGGCACCTGAGATTGCGATTTTCAGTGGAACCAACGTTTAGTTTGGAGATCAATTCCTGTCTTGTTTCTTGTGTTCATGGATTTACTTTCATCCTGATATTCCTGTAACTGTTCCTGTCTTGGATCTCATTGTTCACGCCTTTGATTTTAATGCTCAAGTTTGTTCCTGTATTTTTCACTTGGTACTATTTTGGGGCTCATAGACTCTTATTACCTGTGGATCTTGCCATGGTTTTTGGACATTTCTGCTTCCTGAATTTGATGCATGGATTGTTGCTGCTCATGCATAACTGATAGGGCTGGGCGGTTTCGTTTCGTTAACTCGTAATTCGTTAAAAATTCGTTTTTTTTAAACAAAGCGATAACGAACCATTCTGGAGCAACTTAAAAACGAAACGAATTTTTCAATTCGTTTCGTAAATGCTTCGTATTCCGTCATGTATTCGTTTCGTTATTGGTTTGAGGTCGTTTCGTTATTATTTCCGCATGTCTGGGCCAGTTTTATGGTTTAATTAGTGAAAAAAAATTATAATATCACACCAACAGTCAACAACAGAGGGAGAGGGAAGCTTCAGAAGTTTTTTTAGCATATTGCGCGATCGTGTCCGCCATTAACGAATCGATTCGTTATTGTTTCGTTATTGTTTTGTAATTTTTTTTACCATTTACGAAATTTCGTAAATATCGAACTTTTTAAAAGGAAAATTTCGGAATTCTTTTAAATATCGAAACGCAAAAAACCCCAAAAAACGAATCGATTTTAGAAACAAATTTTTCCGTTGTTACCCAAGGCTAATAACTGACTATTATTATGGACAACATTCTATACTACTTTTGAACATCTTTTACTCTTTCACTGAAGCTATTTTTATTCTTCAATAAACTGCTTGCTTATAAAGAACTTTGGTGTTCGGTTTCAGTTTCAGAGGTGCTTTCCCACCCCTGGTGTGCAAAAGTTGCATTTCACTTCTCAAATGTGCCAACCAGCTACTCCTTCTGGGAAGTTACAGTCCATCTATATCTGGAAATCACATTGGGCAGTCACTGCAAATGGCACTGAATTGGCATTTCAATGATATCTGGACCCGATGTGTGGCATTCATGTTGAAGAACTCGGCCACTACATCTCTAAGATAACCAAAGGCTGCTAAGCAGTTATGGAGCCCTCAATAAGGAGAAAACACAACACACCCTCTTCTCTATCATGTTGTTTTTCCTGCTATATAAAAGGAACAAAATACATTGAAATCATCTGGTTTCGTAGGTCAATAGCCTAGGCCAAACCTCAGCTAGGGGGAAAAAATTCTAGTAAGTCCTGCCCTCATTACCTCATCTGAAAAGTGGGAGCATTCGAACTACACACAACACACATATATATCTCTCATCTCTCCCCTCTTCCCCCATTTCCCTTTTAACATTAAACATCAAAGCACTTGGGGAAAAGCAAAGCAGAGTTAAAAGGATGGTTTTCCCTCCTTATCTTGATCTGATGAAACACAGTATAGCCCAAGGCAGAATCCATATAACTGCTACCTTGTAAAAAACAAAATATAGATATATTTTCTAAGAAAAGACAAAATGCAGGAGAATAAAACTGAAGGCACCCTATCAAAAAGCTAACCTGATCTTGTATACTGGCTTCTGTCCTTTTGTCACTGTCAATTCCCTGTCCAGAATCAACCCATTTGTATGGCATCGCATAGCAAAAAGAGGTTAGACTACCACAACAGAAGAGAAGTGTGCTGGTGGCAAAATTTGGGTAAAGTATTGGGGGTAGGGGTTTACAGGATCAATATTCTCCAAACAGTTCAAAAAAGTAACTTGTCCAGTTTCCGGGTTCATCATAGATTTACAGCACATTAGCAATGGTATGTCCCACAGAATTTCAGTGAAGCCCCCAAATTTCCCCACACGCTGCTTGGGAAAAAAAATGCCCCTATGGCAATCCTACTCTTATAAGCCATTGGAGGGGGGGGGGGCATGATTCCATTATCCAATGCTAAGGGAAGAGACACAATGTTTTAGGCTTGGAAAAAAGAGACTATTGCAGTCCATAAGGATGTGGAGAAATGAAAAATGAGCTGGGTCGGCCATGCATGTCCTACCGATGCCTACCCATATCACAGAATTACTTGTCCAGTGTCACTCTGCCATTACAGTTACAATATTGTGTCCTTTGGGGTGACATTTAGCAGAATTCTGGATTGTCCTAGCTATGCTGCCTTCATGATTTATCAACTAATATTCACCATTTTTAATGTTCCTCTTAATTCTTTTCATTATCTCTTCTTTTTTGGGGGGTGGGGGGAGGGATTGAATGTTCTTTTATAGTGAATGCACACCTTGTGCATTCCCTCTTACTTTGCTAGGGATTACCTTGAACCTTGATAATGCTGCTATGCTGATCAAGCTCCCATCTCTTGAGTTCCATCTTTATTTCTTTTGCTTTATTAAACTGTCGGTTGGCAGTTAATAAAGCTGTTGTACTTAATGATCTTGCTATCTCTTATCGTTTCTCTTGTTTTGCACTTATTGAAACATGGATTT